GAGACGAGGTCTTGCCAAGTTGCCTAGGCTGGTCTCAAACCCGCAGGCTCAGGCAATCCACTTGCCTGGGCCTCCCAAAGTGCTGGGATTACAGGCTGAGTCACCAAGCCCGGCCCTCTGGTGATGTTTTAATGCCAATCTCTTACCAGCAACTGATCACTCAAAACAGAGGGCAGGCATGCACATGACAGATTTGAGCACCCACTGCAGGCCCTGTGCTGGATGCTGGGGGTACCATCCATCTGAGGCTTTCAGCATAGTGGGGGAAGACAGGAAATAAGATGACAAAAAACAAAGGTGATTTCAGAGTTTAGGATGTAAAAGACACAAAGGGTCAGGGAAGGCCTCTCTGAGGAGGTGCTTGTCAAGATTGAAAGGATGAGGAGGTCAGCCATGGAAAAGCTAGAGGCAGAATGCACAAGCCAAGGGAACAGCCATGAGGCCAGTGAGACTGAGCAGCAAAAGGGTGGGAAGAGTCAGACTGGAAGGGCTAAATCGCATAATTTCCCACGGGAAGCATAAAAGTTCGTGGGCAGGGAAACAAAGAGGTGGGGACTTTTAAGCTAACAGTGTGGACAAAAACCAAGGAAGGTCTAAAAGTGAGTGCTTTCAATTCTCACTCATCTCCAAACTAAGAGAGGTCTTTGAACCAGGAAGAAACAGGGCTCCATGTTTTGGAGCAGAGCTTAGAAAATCTATGTCCCCTGTAAATCTGCAAAGAGGTAGTATTTATCTGCACAGCCTCATTATACCTAAAGGCTCAAAAATTATTTGGCAAATGAAGAAGCAAATGATCAGAGAATGGAAATTAAAAAGACAAGAAACCTGCCTCACAAGTGGCAAGAGCACACATCTAGTAATCAACAGAAATAGGACTCATTAGAGAGTGTGTTTTATGGCTTTATGACCCAGGGAAGGAGGAGGGGTTCCAGAAGCAGACTGGTGTACTGGGGAAAAGGCTCAGCATTTTAAGCTGGGCTGTTCTCCTAACTGGATGGATACTACTGGGTAGGCCACCACCTTCTCTGGACTTCAGATTGCTTGAATTAAACTGAGGGAGCTGGAGTATTCAGTAAAGAATTTCTCGGTGGACTCCAACTCTCTGTAGCTTTATATTCTGGGATGCCCACCTTACTGTTTCTCTGGCACAAAGAAGGTGCTTCATGAGTATCTGCTGAATGAATGAAGCCCACCATCTTATTTTAGGACACTGGGCAAACCTAGAGGGGTTAGGTGGCAGTTCAGGGACAAGCAGTCAGTTAGTGGTAGTATGTGGGGAGGCCCTCCAACCTGCAGCCTGGATACTTTAGGCTCTTGGGTAGAGACACGACAGGGAAGCAGGGAGGAGATGGTCAAAGCCCAACTTTGGGGGCTGAGTGTACTTCCCTGCAATGCACTGGATACTGCAGCTCTGGCTCAAACCCCAGCTCCACGACCTGCTGGCCGAGTGGCTTTGGCCAAGTCACCTCTGAGCCTTACTTTTTTCACTTTTTTACTCTTCAGTAAAGCGAGATCATATAACATACCCTAACTCGCAAAGGTCGCTGCGAGATCAATGAAATAAGCCCTGAGAACAGTACCTGATAGATAGTAGAGGCTCCGTGCTCCCGTGAGTGGCATTCCTACCACTCCAGCACAGCGTACTCTACCCGGATTGGCCGGACGCGCCTTTTAAAGGCGCGTGCAAGATGGAAACACGTGGTGTGTGGTAGGAGTAACACTAATAATTAACAAATTAATCCCCAGTTACGAGCCAGTCGCAACGTGCTCGGCACTTCCGCGCCCCTTCCAGGCCCAGCTTACAAATCTCGCACGCAAATCCCTCCCCTCCGAGGGAAGGGTTCGAGCTCCACCGTGACCTTGGTCCTGCCCCATTCCTCCTAGAGCCTCGGTTTTCTCATCTGCAAAACACGAGTGGCGACTCCCAGGCTAGCCCGCCTCTGAGGGTACCGAGGTGGGCCCCCGGCCGCGGGGCCCGGAGTCGCGGAGCGCCGGGGCCTGTGGGTGCTGCATAAACCGCGTGTCTCCTGTAGGCCCTCGTAGGCCCGTCTCCATGGCAGCCCGCCCTCCCTACCTTCCTGCCGGCAGTAGGACATGGCTGCAGGCCCGCGCTCAGTCCTCGCAGAAGAGGCGGCGGAGGCTGCAGCTTCTCACTGTGACCTCCCTCTCCTCAGGCAGGGCGGGTGGCTGCGAGGCCCGCGCGGATCCGCCCCCTCCAGGCCTGCCCGCCGCGCGCCTGCCTCCGCGCCCTACTAACCCCGGCCCGGGCCCTCGCCTTCAACCGGAAACTACATTTCCCAGCAGGCCGCGCGCTCCTCGGCTACTCTTTGGCCATAGAAACTACAATTCCCGGAAAGGCTCGCAGTGCGCAGGCGCATCACTGAGGGACTACAAAAGCACTTTACTCTGGACTACATTTTCCAGGAGGCCTTGCGGTGCGCATGCGCGGAAACGCCAGGACCCGGGCGGCGGTAACTCTAGCACGTCCCACCTGGTTCTGGGCTCCATGCAGATTTTCGCAGCTCCGGCAGAGAAGAGGGTACTGCACTCCTCACTCAGGTCGACAGCCCACTTCCTTGCTGAACAGTGCGAGGCGGCGGCATCGAGCCGAGTTCCACCATGGCCGCGAATGTGAGTGTCTCCTGGTCTGCCGGGCCACACCCAGATTACCCCATCACCCTAGGCCGGAGTGGCCGGCTAGGTCGATTTTGCCGTCTGACCCTCGTCGATGCGGTTGGCCCCCATCTCCCACTGCACGTCGGTGTCTCTCCCTTCCGGCAGTCATTCCTCTGTTCACCTCTCTTAGCCTATCCAGACTGCTATTGGCCGTATTCTTTGGTCCACCTTATCCTCGGGTCTCGAGTTTGTGCGGGGCCGACTCAAAAGGTGTAGCTCTCCGCGCTGTGGGTCTACTTGTGGGCGGCGCCTCCCCGCAGCCCCTGTTGCATTTCCAGTTCTCGCCTGGACCTTTGGGGTTCTGAAACTTGTCGAACTTGAGAGCTGGGCGGGACCTCGGAGTAGGGGGCCAGTCCCTTGGGGTGGGGGGTAGAGAGGCCAATCCTGCCCAAGCGGAGCTGTCCGGGAATGGACAGACAGAGCTATCCAGACGGGCAGTGAGTTCTCCTCCCCAGGGAGGTATGTAAACCGAGGCTGTAACGCTGCAAAAGGCTCAGGCTAGGCTGGGTGCAAAGGAGTTAGGATTAAGGTGAGAGGGAGCATTTCTCTAATGGCAGGCCCCTTTTCCACCTAGCATGAATTTGGTTAGTGACTCAGGCCCTGGTGGAGTGTTATTCCTTCAAGGCCCCTTCTCCCTGCAACCGACCTTTCTGGGGAAAGTTTCTATTTAAGCCCAACATTCATTCAACGGACCGAGCAACACCTCCTACCAGGGTGCTCGGTGTGGGAGAAGCTGGTGACTCACTACCCCCTCCTCTGTGAAAGTGTTTCTGGGCCAGCTTAGGAACCCAGCCAGTCCCCGACACACCCTCGCTCTTGCTCTGGTAGAGTGGCCCTGCCGTCCTCTCTTGGCCTGTTACACCCTATTTCCAGGCCCCTCCTTTGTCCCCAAGCGTTCTTTCTGCCTCCCACGACTCCTTGAGAGGCAAGGGTGTGTGTCACCAACAGCCCTATATAAACTGCCTTGGGTTAGTACTATCTACACCCCCAGCACACCCTTGGTCCCTTAGGAGGGCTAGAAGCCTTGAACGTTGCGTCTAGAAAGGGCTCAAAAGTGGTCCATGAGACTCAGGGTCTGTCAGGGGAGAGGCCAATCAGGAGATCAGTCTGTCCTCCTCAGGTGGACTGCTATCTGCCCTGATCACCACCACCACCATAATTTACAGATAGGGAATTTACCCAGGAGGGGAAGGTACCTACCCAGGGTCTTACAGCCAGCTTGGCATGCTATGACATAGGAACATGCCGAAGAGGGCAGGGTCTGGAGTCAGGCAGACCTGGGCAGATCCAGATCTGTCCACTCAGAAGATGCGTGGCCTTGGTCTCTCCAGTTTTATGATCCTGATGGGATCAGTTACTGTGACATTTAAGGGAGACTGCCTGATGCATGGTAGGTACTTCATACAGCCTGTCCCCACACTGTAGCTCCAATGGTGGCAGACACCATCTTGCGTATGTTGGGACCTGACCCCTTACCAAGGAACTTAAATGCATTTGGATAACCTCTGCTGCCCAGCCTTTGTTGATTCATCCAGTAGCTGGGCGCACATTTACAGGAGCCACTGGGCTGGGTGAGGAAGAAAGATCTGAAGATAGTAGGTGGAGCAGGGAGGCGGCAGAGTTCTTCATCAGTATAGCAACAACAGTGCCTGTGAGGAAGTACTGCTACCCTCTAAATTTTATTTATTTATTTGTTGAGTCAGAGCCTCACTCTGTCGCCCAGGCTGGAGTGCAGTGGCACGCTCACAGCCACCGCAGCCTTGACCTTCTGGGCTCAGGTGATCCTTCTGCCTCAGCCTCCAAGTAGCTGGAACTACAGGCATGTACCACTGCACCTGGCTAAGTTTTTGATTGATTGTTGAGATGAGGTCTTACCAAGTTGCCCAGGCTGGTCTCAAACCCGTGGGCTCAGGCAGTCCTCTCACCTAGGCCTCCTAAAGTGCTGGGATTATAGGCGTGAGCCACCACGCCCAGCCTACCCTCTCCATTTTACAAGTGAGTAAACACTCATAAATCAGAGTAGAATCAGAGAGGCAGAGCACCTTACTCAGGGTTACACAGCAAGTGATTGGTGAACCTGGAATTCTAACCTAGGTCTGTCCATTTCCAGGCCTGTGTGTCAGCCTCTATTCCCAGCACTACTCCCTGCTCCTGAGTCCCGAGTGCTGGGGCTAGAGAGATGTGTCACTGGAGGATGTATGTGTATGTGATGTATACATGTGTATTTATGTATATTATATGTGTAACAAACGTGTTTACATAAATGCATACGTGTATCTGTAGATCCTCTGTGATCCTCCATGTTTACTGGTCATTTGGGTTCAGAATGTGCGCAGGTTGTATCATATCACTGCCCACCTCACCCCTCTCTTAGTCTGAGGGGCACCCTCTCTTTCTTCCCTGAGGCCTGTTGAACCCCTTGTCTTGATGTTGGCTGAGGGGAGGCCCAGGAAGAAGATGCCTTTTTTCCCCATTGCTGCTGCAGCTGGCTCCCAGCACTCAACTCACATTACAGCCCAAGAGATGAGGAACGTAGTCTGGAATGAGTGCTAGGAGAGTCGCCCACGGTCTGCCTGGATTTGGGTCCTGACTCCCCCACTTAGAGGCTGTGTGGTCTGGGAAGGTGTCTTAATGACTGAACCTCAATTTTCTCTCCTGTGAAATGGGGTCATTATGGAGTCCATCTCCTCGGGCTGGCCTGTGGCAGACTGGCGTGTCGCCACTGTCATTATTATGGTGGCTGCTGGTCACCTGCCTGCTTGGTGATTCTCTCCACTCCTGTTTCCCAATGGCAGGGAAAGCCCAGACCTTCTGGATACCTGGGCCTCTGGTCCCTGGAGGCTTTGGCTGGTGGTATTCAGAGACTATCGGAACGTGACAAACAAACAGAGACTCTGACTTGAATCACTCTTCTGACCCCCTAGTGCCAGGATGGGGCCTGGCTCAGCCAGCGTGCCCGTCTGAGAACCACTTTATTTATTTATTTTTAAGACTAGTCAAGTGCAGCTGTGAGAAGGGGGGAAACAGGAAACGACTCTACATCTTGGTCAGCTCACCCTTCACCTTGGTACCAGTCCAGTATCAGTTATAGGGAAATCTGATAGCATTCCCACTCCCCATGGTACAGTGTTTACCATGTCCTAGGCACTGAGTCCTAGGCACTGAGTCACCTAATGTTCTTGAGTTCTCACCATAATCCTATGCACTAAATTACTATCCCCGTTTTCCTGATGAGGAAACGAAAGGCATGAAGGGGTTGAATTGCTTGCCCAAAACCCCAGAGCTGGTGTAGGCCCAGAAACCTGGATACAAGCAGAGACCTTCTGGCTCCCGAGTCCAGCCCTAGACGATGGCATTCTTGATCAGCAGTGGACACATTACAAGTCATGCCTCTGATCCACTGGCCCTTGATTTTGAGGCCTGCTGTGAACCTGCCCAGACATGCCCAGCTACCATGTAGCTAGCAGGTAGGCAGCTGCTCCCCCAGCCATCTCCTCACCACTACTCATGCAAGTCCTTCTGCTGGGGTTGCCCTTCCCCCAGGGTCTGCCTCCAAGATCCCACTCAAATGCCCCCTCCTCCAGGAAGCCTGTTTTGCTACCTGGAAGGGATCACTCCTTTAGTACTGGATCCAACCCTCTCATCAGACTTTCAGCATGACCTCTTAGTATTGTTTGTGGTTATGACTGACTGCCCTAAAAGCTGTCTGTACCCCTCTTCCTACTCCACGAGGCCTAGCACAGCCCTCAGAATGCTTAGCCACTTTTTGTCAGATTTCATAAAAGATACATCTCTAATAACCTCTTCGTAACTTAGTTCAGCAGCTTCTTTAAAAGTTAAACATGTAGCCGGGCTCGGTGGCTCAGCCTGTAATCCCGCGCCTTTGGGAGGCTGAGATGAGTGGATTGCCTGAGCCCGCGGGTTCGAGACCCGCCTGGGCAACTTGGCGAGACCTCATCTCTACAATAAATCAAAATGAGCCGGGCGTGGTAGTGCGCACCTGTAGTTCCAGCTACTTGGAAGGCTGAGGCGGAAGGATGGCCGGAGCCCAGCAGGTCAAGGCTGCGGTGGCCGGGAGCGGCCACCGCACTCCAGTCTGGGTGACAGAGTGAGACTCCAACTCAAAAAAAAAAAAAAGTTAAATATGTGTCTTCCTGTGGCCCAGTAATTCCACTCCTAGGTCTTTACTCGGGGGAAATGAAAGCTCATTTCTATGTAAAGACTCATACATGCATGTTCCTAGCAGCATTATTCATAATAACCCCAAACTGGAAACAACCAAGATAAATCCACCAGTAGGTGGATTTACCACCCACTGGTAAATGCAACAACACGTTTTGGAATACTATTCAGTCATACAAAGGAACAAGCTACCAATGAACCCCACACCATGATGAATGTCAGAAGCATTATGCCAAGTCAAAGAAGCTGGACAGAAGGGATTTCTTGCTGTGATTCCATTCCTCTCAAGTGCTAGAAGAAACAAAACTAATTGGTAGTGATCGAAATTCAAGTTGTTACCTCCAGGTAGTAGGGAGAGGGGAGAATTGGCAGGAGATCTGAGGAACTTGGGTGACAGACATGTTCTGTCTTTTACTCTAGGTGTTAGTCACATGGGGAATTCACTTGTGAAAACCTACCAAGCCGAATATTAAATATCTGTGCATTTTTACCACATATAATTAAAACTAGACAAAGTATAAATAACAGCAAAATGCAACTTACTTATAAAACTAATTCTCATTCTGATATTTTAATGTTTTTTTCTTCAGTATTCCAGTGCAAGTGCCAGGAAAGAACATGTCAAAGTGACAACAGGCCCCCAGCCAAGCTTCCTGGAGCGGCTGAGCGAGACCTCGGGTGGGATGTTTGTGGGACTCGTGACCTTCCTGCTCTCTTTCTACTTAATTTTCACCAATGAGGTAAAATGTCTGGGGTCTCCCTATGCAGAATGAGAGTCTCCATGGTGTCAAGGAGCAAAGCTATGAATCCAGAGGCTGGATTTGGTAGTAAAGAGCCTCGATTTTACAAAAGGAAAGACGTGTGCCAAATTAGAATTCTTTCTGTTCTAATCCACCTCACGACTGATGGAAACAGGGAAAGTGGGTGCATTTACACACCAGAAAATCTGAGGGTGACACCTGCTTCAGGTATGGTTGTATCAGGTGTTTATGCTGAATCACCAGGCTTCTTCATTTCTTTATCTCTTGCCTGTTTCTCTCTGTTGTGTTTTTCTTGGGCACACTCTTTGTGGTGATAAAGGTGGCCCCAACAACTCCAGGCTCACATCCAACCAGCTTAGCAAACCCAGAGAAAAGAGGAACCATCTCTTTCTAAATCAGTTTAGCAGGAGGATTGCTCAGTGTCCTGGCTTGACCCTCATTCCTGTGAACCAATCCCTGTGGCCAAGGGAGACATGTTCTGAGTGGCGAGGCCTGGATCCCATGATTTGGACAGGGGCTCTGGTCAGCTTATATAAACCACATGGGGCTGAGAGCAGGGGAGAGGAGAGGAAGGCAGAGGAAAATGAGAAGGAAAAAGGAAAGCAGACAGCAACACCAGCTCTTCCCAACCCAGGGCAGTGCTGTGATTGGTGGGGGTGGGTGCGAACCTGTGGGCTGGTGGGAAGAAGTGTGCCTGGGAAAGCAAGAATCCTGGGTTCCAATTCCAATCCTGCTGTCACTTGTGAGACCTCAGTTTTCCAACAGAATGGGGAGTTGGGTCTCAATGTTCCCTGAGGCCCCTTCTGGTCCCGATACCCTGCAACCAGCCCAGCCATGTGGCGCCACCCCTGAGTTGCTAGAATTCCCGCTCCCGTTTGCTCACAGGGCCGCGCGCTGAAGACAGCAACCTCACTGGCTGAGGGGCTCTCGCTTGTGGTGTCCCCCGACAGCATCCACAGTGTGGCTCCAGAGAACGAAGGGAGACTGGTACACATCATTGGCGCCCTGCGGACATCCAAGGTAGGCTTGGTGGTGGCTGCTGACCCTCTGGTGGCTTGGGGCACATCCCTGGATGTTGTCTGGTCGAGGATTTGGAAAAGTGGGCCTCAGAGATGGACACATGTGAGTGTGATTCCCATCTCCATCACCAGCAGCTTCGTGAACGCTTGTTGTTCTCATCTATAAAATGGGGACAATAATAGTAACAAGCTTGTGGCCAGTTTTGAAGATTCAGTGAGACAGTAGCCAAGGTCTTGTCATAGTGCTTGGCAAATGGTGTGAGTGTCACAGACAGGCTCTGTCATGATTATGGTGAGCATGTGTGTCTAGCACAAGGCCACAAAACTCTCCTGGTTACTAGAACTTTCCTGTCGTTTGAACACCCATTATGTTGTTGGCACAATGCCATTGGGCTGTATAGTTCAAGCCTGTACTGTGAGGGTCACAGTCACCAGCATTAAATTAATAAGAACTTGGAATAGGCAGCAGCACTCAGTGCTCCCACACGAAGCAGCCATAGAATGCTCCCTCTTGTCTCCATTCTTTATATGTATTTCTCTTCTAGTCCGGCTTCTCCTAAGCCAGGGATTCCGGGCTGATGTGCATCTTATCCTTTATTATTTTGGTTTGTTTGGTTCTGTTTGAAGCTCTTGTCTGATCCAAACTATGGGGTCCACCTTCCGGCTGTGAAGCTGCGGAGGCACGTGGAGATGTACCAGTGGGTGGAGACCGAAGAGTCCAGGTGAGGCAATAGGAAGTCGGGTCCCCTGGCAGAGAGGAGGCACAGGTGTCAGGGTACAGTGCAGGCGGCTTGCACTTTGATGCCTTTGAAGAGTCTGAAATCTCCCTGTCAGAAACTTGAAACTATCCCAAGATGAGTAGCCTGTGGTCTTTCATGTGGAAGTGGCCAAAATCCGATGAAGGATAGTTCTGAGAAGAAAGGGGGATGTGTGGCTTTCTCAGCTGGGAAGTCCAGGGATGCACCAGCTGGAGGCATGACTGAAGCCAGGCTCTGGTGTCCCTGGGATCTGTGTGCCACCCTACCCCCTCACCATGTCTGTGTTCGGCTTTCCCTGTGTAGTCCCATCTTCTCTCCCACAAGGGAGCAGAGGTAGCCTCCAGCTGGCACCCTATTGCTCTGACAGAAGTCCCAAGGCAGACCCGTTGGCCAGGCTGGGGCCACCTGGAGCCAGGGGTGGGCTCAGCCCCACTTGAACCACACGGACTGAGTGGGGGGTGGGAGGTGAGGGGAGGAGTCAGAAGGGCGACCTCAGCCCACCCCCGTCGCCCCCCAGGGCTGTCCAGGAGCAGAGGTACAGCCAGATCTCTGAGCCCAGAGGGCAGGGCTGAGCCACTGGTATGAGGCCAGTGGAGGCAGATTTCAACCCAGGATGGAAAAGCCCTTTTCTCCAGTCAAGGCCTCCGAGGATGTAGCTGACTCTCTGCCAGGGAGTAAGCATTCCATTCTTGGGCAGGGGCAAACGGGCTTCTGCACCACATTGGGAGTTTGACCTGGGAACCCCAAGGCTACTTCTAGCTTAGAGATCAGAATGCGCAGGGTAACTTGGCTGACCCGTGGCTGCCTGTGCTCCCCCTGCAGGGAGTACACCGAGGATGGGCAAGTGAAAAAGGAGACGCGGTACTCCTACAGTGAGTACTGGGCCCTCCTGTGGTCTCTGCATGGCTGAGACTGAAGCAGCGACCTGGGGGTGGGGCCACGGGAAGGGCACAGCGCCAGGCAAAAAGACCCCAAGTTGCCAGTCCTCCAAGCCCTGCTGCCCCACCATCAGGGAGGCTCCCTAAGTCGCGCTTTGTCTTGAGCGTCATGGGCTCAGATGAGAGTGGGGCTTTGCTGTGTGGCCACTCTCATCATGGCTTCTGCATTTTTCCTTTCCTCCCAAACAGATACTGAGTGGAGGTCAGAAATCGTCAACAGCAGAAATTTTGACCGAGAGATTGGCCACAAAAACCCCAGGTGAGGGCGGTCCCAGGCCTAAGCACAGCTTTGTCTCACTAGCAGTTCTCCAGCCTCTGTTGCTTCATCTGAGTAACAAGATTGAGTTAATTCTGCCTCATGGGTTGATGAAAACATGGGACATGGTTTTGAGGCCAAGCCCTGTTCCCACCAGGAACACAGAGGCAAGACCCATCCCCTGACCCCAAACAGGATCCCCCAAGCAAGTCACCAGTATAAGGGCTGGACTAGTGCCTAAAGGGATTTGCACGTAAGGTGCCAGGGAAGCGTTTTGTTAACAGCTCGCCGTGGGTAGGAGGACAGTCAGGAAGGGCTTTTGGAAAGCAGCAGCATCTTATCTGGGCCTTGTCAGGATTTCAGCAGAGGGAGATTAGCTCAGTGGCATGGCGGTGGTGACGTGGGCATAATACCTGGGCATGGCTAAAGCCTGGGCCTGTGCAGGGCTGTGCCAGGATGGTGGTCAGGAATTTGCATGCTGCCTGGGCTGGGAGGGGTCAGGCGTGGGTGTGAAATCCAAAAGCTCCATCTGGAGGCTGGCGGGTGGGGCAGAGCGGCTGCCAGGGGTCTGGGAAAGAGGGTGTGAAGCTCTGGGGGGCAGGAGACAGCATGAGGGTGCTCAGCCTAGGCGAGCAGGCATGGGACCCCCCGGAGTGGTGAAGACAATGTGTCTGCTGTGGCTGGGCTAGTCTGGATGTGCAGGAGCTCCCGGGGGGGACATGCCTGGTACAAGCTGCCCACCCAGCCAGGCGGCATGAGGCACCCCACCACTCGTGCCTCCCTCTCCCACAGTGCGATGGCAGTGGAGTCGTTCACAGCAACTGCCCCCTTCGTGCAGATTGGCCGATTTTTCCTCTCAGCAGGTAAGTCTCAAGGCCCTCCAGATGAGCTCCTGCCCGCCCAGAGGCCCTGAGCCTCCGTGTGTCCCCACCCCACCTCCCTCCACGGCTGGAGTCCCAGCACGCGGCCCTCAGGTGCTTCAAGGTGCAGGATCTGTTGGCGCTTTCCCAGCACCAAACTCTAACCTGGGCCAGAGGGAAGGCGAGGTCCCAGGAAGCCGGGGCTTGGCATAGACCTCCTACCCAACCCCGGCCCAGTTCTTCTGAGACCTGGTTTGTTCCAGAAGTGACCCCAAGCACTGCGTCCGCATCTGCCGTGGTGCTGGGGTCTGTTCTCACCAGACATTGCTCAGAGAGCCCTTCCTCCATCAGCCCCGGAGGCAGAGGCAGAGCGATTCACTCACTCCCCAGGGCTCCCTTCCTGAGCCCTGCTGGAGCCAGGAGGGGGCTGGCTTGTTGCGTGCTCCCCCAGTGCTCCACAGAGAAACTTTCTCTTTTTTTTAATTAATTAACTTATTTATTTATTTATTTACTTTTTGAGTTGGAGTCTCACTCACTCTGTCGCCCAGACTGGAGTGCAGTGGCCATTCCCGGCCACCGCAGCCTCGACCTGCCGGGCTCCGGCGATCCTTCCGCCTCAGCCTTCCAAGAAGCTGGAACTACAGGCGCGCGCTACCATGCCCGGCTCATTTGTTATTTATTGTAGAGATGAGGTCTCGCCAAGTTGCCCAGGCGGGTCTCGAACCCACGGGCTCAGGCAGTCCACTCACCTCAGCCTCCCAAAGGTGCGGGATTACAGGCTGAGCCACCGAGCCCAGCCACAGAAACTTTCAAGGGATAAGGTGGCATCACTGGCCACCATTACCCATGGGCTCTGTCCCTAGACCTGACCCAGGAAGGTGGGAGAGAAGACCCTTGGTGCCCAGAAGGCCACCGTGTGAGGGGGAATCAAGGTGATCCAGGTTTGCCCTGGCTGCCTGCTAACTGCTCTGTCACTCAGCTGGTGCCTGCGGTGCCAACTGGGCCTGCCGTCAAGTAGCTCTCAGTGCAGGAGGCAAGCCTGGCTTAGACATGGATGACCATAACTAGAGGTGGAAGGGCAGAGGGCTAAGGCCACTCTCGAGCTGTAACTTGGTGGGGTGAGGACCCATGGAAGGCTTTCTGGAGGAGATGGCAACTAGAGCAGGGCTGGCCCAGAAGCAGCCGTGGCTGAGACAGATACTGCTGCGGGAGCACGCATGGCCCCGAGGGCATGAGTGAGGCGGTGGCAGTGTGGCCAGGCTGCAGCGGTGCTGTGGGAAGCGTCAGGCTGAGGCTTTGCAGATTGCGGTTTTCAGTAGATACACCAGGTTTCTAACCATCCTGCTCTCAGGCCTCATTGATAAAGTTGACAACTTCAAGCCACTGAGCCTTTCCAAGCTGGAGGACCCTCACGTGGACATCATTCGCCGGGGAGACTTTTTCTACCACAGCGAAAACCCCAAGTATCCTGAGGTATGCAGGAGGCTCGGGCTCCCTAGGTAGCCAGATCAGGACCCAGAGGGGTGTCCCACGGACAGCACATGCTGGAGACGGGCTCGGTGTAGTAGAATTCACAGCTGCACTCGGCCAAGTGAAATCGTGGGGGTGTCTGGGGACAGTACGGCCCGGGCACAGGTGGGAGGCAGGGAAGTGTGGGGGACCAGGGCTTCAGGCACCCCAGCCCCGGCCCGCTGCTCACGCTCTGCCTCCCTCTCCTGCTCCTCTCCCGCCTGCAGGTGGGAGACCTGCGTGTCTCCTTCTCCTATGCTGGCCTGAGCGGCGATGACCCCGACCTGGGCCCGGCACACGTGGTGAGCTGCCTTCCTGGGAGCAGACCTTCCTGGGCACAGGCCCTCGGGTGGTTAGACACCCCTCTAGAAAGGCATACACTCATGCACATCAGCGGTGCATGCTTCTGAGCAGCTTCGGAGGCTGTTTCCCCACAGCTACTCGTGGGTCCCAGCTCGAGGGTCCTAGGAGCTGCAGTTCGAGAGGAAGCTCGTTGTGGTGCCTCATGAGAGTTGTTCCAGTCACATGCAGCCTCCCTTCCCCGCCCCCAGCTTTGATCTGGACACACGTGGTCTTGTGTCCCTGGCCCATGTGCCACCCCAGGATCCTCCCCGGAGCTTTGAATGAAGCAGCTCAGCCAGAGCTCCAGAGGCTGGATGCCCTGGGTAGAGGTGTGGAGAAGGCGGCCCCAGAGTCTCTGCACTCGCCTCCCTGGCCGGCATGGGGTCCCGGGAGGTGGGGCTCTGGATCTCCCCTGGTGCTGGCCTCCCCCTGCTCAGCCCCCTCAGCACTGATGCTAAATCCTCGACCAGGTCACTGTGATTGCACGACAGCGGGGAGACCAGCTAGTCCCATATTCCACCAAGTCTGGGGACACCTTGCTGCTCCTGCACCATGGGGACTTCTCGGCAGAGGTGAGTTGCTGCTGCCTTTCTCACGTGGTGGGAGACAGATGTCTTTCTCTCCTTCCTTCCAGTGCCTGTTTAACAAGCTCTCATGACTAGAGATCATAAGCAAGGAGGGAGGCAAGAAAAGGAATAAAGGCAAAGCAATTTACGTACCGCACAACTCTAGAATAAACAAATACATTTTTTAAAAAGGAAATAAAGGGATATATTTGGGTGTCTCTTGTCCAAAATGCTTGACCACAGTTGCTCTAGATTTCAGATGTGTTCAGATTTGGGAATATTTGTACATACACAGTGAGATATCTTGGGGATGGTACCCAACCCTAAACACAAAATGTAGTTGTGTTTCATATGCACCTGATATACATAGCCTGCAGGTTTTATACAATATTCTATGTTTTGGGGTTTTTTTTTAACTTTTTTGAGTCAGGGTCTCACTCCGTCACTCAGGTTAGAGTGCAGTGGCACAATCACAGCTCAATGCAGTCTTGACTAAAGTGCTGAGATTATAAGTGTGGGCCACCATGCCCAGTCTACAGTATTTTAAATAATATATGTGACCTGGCCAAGCACAGTGGCTCATGCCTGTAATCCCAGCGTTTTGGGAGGCTCAAGCAGGTGACCCTTCCAGCAGGTGAGTTGCTTGAACCCAGGAGTTTGAGACCAGCCTGAGCAACATTGTGAGGGCTCATCTTTACAAAACATCAAAAAATTAGCCAGGTGTGGTGGCGCATGCCTGTAGTCCCAGCTACTCGGGAGGCTGAGGCAGGAGGATCATCTGAGCCCAGGTGGTCGAGGCTGTAGTGATTGTGCCACTGCATTCCAGCCTGAGTGACAGAATGAGTCCCCGACTCTAAACAAAAACAAATGAGATTAGATATGGAATTTTTCACTTACAGCATCATGCCAGCACTCAACAAGTTGGATCTTAGAGCATTCCAGAGTTTGGATTTTTGGATTAGGGCTGCTCAGCCTATAGTAACCTCCCACTGTGTGTAGGACTGTGCTGGATAAAACAGACTGCCTCACAGACTCCCGTCTTATAGGGGAGAGAGATTAATCAGAAACTACAATAGTAAGTAGTGACACGTGCTAAGTTTTACGACTGGTACAACAGGTGCTCCGAGGTAAACAGACATCATAATAGAAGATCAGTTTTTACAATGGTCAAGCAAAGCCCTTCTGATGAGTGACATTTTTGCCGAAACCCAAATGAAGACAAGAGGTCAATCCTGGAAGAATGGAGGGTCAGTCAGTAGTTCAGGCAAGAACAGCACAGTCCAGGCAGAAAAGGGATTGCCTTGTTGGGGGCACCAGGAGTGCCACAGCCACAGCCCAGAGCGCAGGGGAAGGATGTGGGCAGGGAGACTGCTGAGAGGCAGAGGCTGTGCCAAGGGACATGTCCTTCAAGACTGTGAGCGGGAGCACCCCAAGACTGGGTGAGTGAGAGCAAGCACCCTCCGTCAGCACTCCGGCTCTCTGGGCGTCCCTCTCCCATCTGTAAAGCGGGGGGAGGGTCAGGCTTCACCCAGGGCCCAAGGAGAAGGGATGCCAAGGTGCGCCGAGTCTCTTAAAAGACAGCCTTTCTTCTTGAGGCAGGAAATTCTTCTCTTCAGAAAGATACACTTTTTATTGTTTCTGTTTTTGATAAGCACAGTATATCGCTGGTGGGGCATTCTACACTTACCTCAAAAAGGATTGCTGGATTCTTAATCTGGAAGGACCGGAGGAGTCAAGACAGCGGGCTTGTGTCGGGATTAGCCGTGACCTTTGGTCCCTATTATTAGGCCCTTATTATTAGACCCTCAGCTGCCATCGTCCAGTTAACCTCAAACCATGATGGGCAGGGGCCTCGCCTACTCTCTGTACCTGGGGACTAGGGTGTGGTCAGGCTGTTGCCTGGGAGCCCCGTTTCCAATGTCAGGGTGAGGCTGCCACCTCCCAGCCCGGTGAGCCATGAGTCACGCTTTCCACCAACAGCTCTGAGGGCTCCTAGGGGTTTCTAAAATTAGGAGGCCCTGCTAGGCCTTGTGCTGTCTCCCAGGGCTGTCACACAGCCCCGGGCTTTAGCCTTCTGCAAGCTGAGGCCCAAGTCTCAGAGCTCCCCTCCAGAGAGGAGAGGATGGGGCTCTTGGCCAGACCACTCCCCCAGAAGGAAGGCCCTGCCGCCTAACAATCCCCAGTCCCTGCTTTCCCCCACCCACCCTGCTGCACCCTGCACACACAGGCCTGGGGTGTCTGCCAAGTGGGGGGGAAAGCCCAGAGTCAAGGAGGCCGCCCAGCGTGCTGAGAAGAAACCCTGGGCCTAATAGTCAGGAGACCCAGATTCCAGTCCCAGGGACAGGAGCCAGCACCAGCCCACGCCGGGACACTGCTGACGGGCCCCCGGCTCTGCCTCCCACCTGCTGCAGGACCTTGAGCCAGTGTTTCGTCCTCTCTGACCTGTTTCCTTATCTGCAAAATGGACTTTTTTCTTCGGGGTTTTTTTTTTTGAGAAAGCAAGACTTATTGAGAGGACAGAAAAGCTCCCACAGTGGGAGAGGACCTGAGGAGGTTGCCCAAAATGGATGTTTTTTTAAAGTAGTAGAATTATCATCATCCCAAACTAATTTAGTTGTTGAGGATTAATCATTCATTCAACAAGTTTTGTTGTTTTTTTAAAGAGACAGGGTCTTACTCTGTTGCCCAGGCTGAAATGCAGTGGCACAATCATAGCTCACTGCAGCCTCAAACTCCTAGGCTCAAGTGAACCTCTCACCTCAGCCTCCCAAGTAGCTAGAACTTAAGGCATGCACCACCACACTCCCTAATTTTTTTCCCCCACTGCGGAGATAAGGTCTCGCTATGCTGCCTAGGCTGGTCTTGAATTCCTGGCCTCAGTGATCCTTCTGCCTCAGCTTCCCAAAATCTGCAGCTGCAGGCGTGAGCCATGTACCCATACCTGAGCACCAGGGATTTCATAGATACCCTGCTCTTAGGAACCTGTAGTTTAGTTAACTGCTTGGGTGAAACCCTAGACATGTTCTTTTTTTTATTTTTATTTTTTGAGTTGGAGTCTTACTTTTGTCGTCCAGGCTGGAGTGCAGCAGCACGCTCACGGCCACTGCAGCCTCCTTAGACGATCCTTCTGCCTCAGCCTTCCAAGTAGCTGGAACTACAGATGCACACCACCACATCCGGGTCGTTTTTGTGATTTATTGTAGAGATGAGGTCCCTCCAAGTTGCCCAGGCTGGTCTCGAACCTGTGGACTCAGGCAATCCTCTCGCCTCAGCCTCCCAAAGTGCTGGGATGACAGGCTGAGCCACCACGCCTGGCCTGGACATATTCTTTATCCGTTCAGAGCCTCGGTTTCCAGTATAAAATGGGGATATAAGTGTCCGTGCCTCACTGAGTTATTTTGAGAATTAAAGAGGATACAATTTACAAAACACTTAGGACAATGGCAGTAGTAAGCAATAAGTGTTACCTATTTTTATTGTTCTAGATTATGACAAGGGGTCCTGGTTTAGATCATGGAAAGCTCTCTGAAGAAATGGCATTTAAGCTAAGACTGAAAGAATGTGTAAGAGCTAGCCAGGCATGACTGGGTGAACACACTGTTGGCAGAACAAACCACATGTGCAAAGGGCCAGAGGCAAGAGAACACTTGACTTGATCTCGGTTCAGGCAGCCTGTGGGGTCAGGGCACAGGCAGCGGGGCCAGAGGCCTTGGCAGTTTGCCACGTGGGGGTGACAGAAGCAGGGAGGCCAGTGGGGGGGAGTCTCCTGTGATGGTCCAGGTGAGGGACAGTGATGGTGTAGATTAGAGGGGTGGACAGTGGTGGGAGACTTGGGAAAATAAGGCCTTGCTGGATGGGGGTGGCAGGGCAAAAACAGGCCATGTCCGACCCCCTAGCATTGGCATGTGCCAATGGGTGGGTGATGGCTTCATGAGCCAAAATGGAGAAGGCTACAGTGTCGGTGCCAGGCGTGCCAAGATGTCAAGTGGAAATGTCAGGAGGCTGGGAGGCCAAGAGGGCCAGAGTTGAGGTTTAAACGTGAGGCTCATGGACATACAGGGTCCGAGGGGATGGACAGGGTGTCCTGGGGAGAGTGTAGGCCGAAGCAGCTAAAGGATTTCAGCATTTAGAGGACAGGAAGGTGCAGGCACGGCACTGGAGACTGAGAAGGAGGGCAGGGTGTCCGAGAGACATGGGAAGAGTGTCCACCATGAAATGGATCATAGACAGCACAGAGCATGGTGGCCAGCACACTGCTCAGACACATTTGGGTGGTGCTGCAGTGGGCGGGAAGGTCTCGTGCCTTCCAGTTAGCTGCTTGGGGTGAGCCTAGGGTATATTCTTCATCCTTTCAGATAAAGAACCTCCTAGGGCTGAGGACTCTAGGAGGGGGCGGGCTCTGAGCTGCAGACCCGCACCTTCCCAGGGGTATGTTGTGCCTGGCTTTGTGCTCTGCCAGGCGGACAGAGGGCCTTAGACCTGGGTGGGGTGGGGGTGGGGTGCCCCTACCTCCCTCTGGTCTGTTCAGAAGTAGTCAGCAGCTCCTGAGTTGGCACGGCCCCCAGCACCTGCACAGACGACTGGGCAGGCCAGTGACCCCCTAGCGTCCTGACACCCACCACCTTGTTCTGCAGGAGGTATTTCATAGAGAACTGAAGAGCAACACCATGAAGACATGGGGCCTGCGGGCCGCCGGCTGGATGGCCATGTTTATGGGCCTCAACCTCATGACACGGATCCTCTATACCCTGGGTAAGTGTGGAGAGACGGGTACTGGGGAGATCCCACCTGCCCACTTGCTTTCTCTGTGTGCCGCACGGTCATCTGTCAGCCCTTCCGGCCTGGTGGGGTGTCCCTGGGGCAGAGACCAGGCATGTGGCCCATCTCTGTCTCCCCACTCCATGGCTTTGGGGTGAATGAGTGGAGGAAGGCGGGCATGAGGGACAGGATGCTCCCCATGGTTGGGGACACAGGCTGGGGCTGGCTCCCTCCAGGCAGCTAGCTTCCATGGTCTGAAGGTCTGGCTGCACTCCATCTGTCCGCTGGCCCCCTCATAGCTTGCTCCTGCGTTCCACAATTCAGTCACTGTGGTGGGAAAGCTGGCTGGCCACAGAGTGAGCCAGACCTGGGTTTGAAGTCTGTTGTGTCCGAGCTCTGGATTCTTGGCCACTCCCCTTCCACCCCAGCTTCAGGGAGCTACCCCGATAGGCAGAGCTTTATGAATTGTTTGGCAAATAGGAAACACTTGAAAACTATCATGCTTCCTTCCCCACTCTAAAACCTGGGCTACATGTGAGCTGCCAGCCAGCCTGGAGCAAAAAGGGAGCATTTACAAGCTATTCCCTGGGACCAGGGTTGGTACCAGTGAGCCCAGTAGGAGCCCAAGTGGCCTGCCTTGGTTCAGGATCTGAGTGCCCAGGGTGATTATGTTCCGGACCTAGATTGTTGGTCCAGGATGGGGTTTCTCAGGACTCTCAGTCCAAGCCTATACCCTGTTGTGTGTCCCTGTGCAGTCAGATGACTGTGTACTGCCTTCTCTGGTCGCCAACAGAAATCTCTCCCCGACTTGCCACTTACAAGTAGGGAGAGGTCTGGCTGCAGTACATCCCAGACTATGGGAAAACTGAGACCCGGGAAGAGAAGGACACTTTCTCTGAGACTGTCTTTGGATAGCTGGATTGTGGTCAGAAAGACTAGCCACATCTTGGGCACATTAGGGAGCAATCAGAATTTAAACAGACTCGCCTGTCTTTGCTCTGTGACCTTGGACAGGCCAGTTCCCCTCTGGAGCCTGAGTGCTTCATCATCTGTCTCAGAGGGCCCATCTTCAGATCTCTGATCCTAATTCACTTCCCATCCAGAATGCTGTCCTAACTCAGAACAGAGCATGGAGGGACCCTCAGTGCGGGTGAAGTCAGGAGGTGCAGCATAGAAGCACACACTCCCTCGTTCATGCAATAAGCACTGATGCTGGGTGCAAGACAAGGGACCAAGCAATGAGCAGGACAGACAAGGACCCTGTCCTCTCAAAGCTTAGAGCAGGAGCTCAGAGCTCAGGCTCTGGGCCCAGACAATCTTGGTTCTGGCACCTCCTAGCAGTAGGACTTGGGTGAGTTTCTTAATTCCCTGAGCCTCGGTAATCTCGTGGGTAAAATGGAGTTAAGAATAGTACCTACTGGCTGGGTGTGGTGGCTCAAGCCTGTAATCCCAGCACTTTGGGAGGCCGAGGTGAGGGGATTGCCTGAGCCCACGGGTTTGAGAACAACGTTGGCGAGACCTCATCCCTACAATAAATCAAAAAATTAGCTGGGTATGGTAGCACACATGCCTGTGGTTCCGGCTGCTTGGAAGGCTGAGGCAGGATTGCCTGAGCCCAGCAGGTCGAGGCTGCGGTGGCCGTGAGCATGCCACTGCAATCCAGCCTGGGCGATGGAGTGAGACTCCAACTCAAAAAAAAAAAAAGAATAGTACCTCCTTATAGGGTTTTATGAGATGGTGCACATAGTGCCTGGCACATAGTCAACCCTCAGAAATGTGATTCTGCTTATTATAAGGGCAGAGGAGGGGTGCTATACGGAACGGACCAAGAGGAGGCCAAGAGCTGGCTTTCAGTTCATTCTGTGTCGTGGTGGGCGCTGGGATTCGCTCTGCAGACCCAATGATACAAGACTACGGGGCCTTCTGGGACTAATGAAGATTCTCCCAGTGGACATCAGCTATGGAGGGCCGGCCTGGAGAGGATAGGTGGGCTACAATGAGTTTAGCTGATCCTGGTCGGTATCCTGTGGGGCCAAGACCCTGTGTGAGTCATGAGGTGGAGCATTTCCCAGGCACCTGCGCAGTGCCGGGCACACAGATAATTGTGGCCATCCTGCTGCATACATAGTGAAGTCACCTCCAGACATGGCTGAGACAGGTGCCCGCAGGGCTTCCCCTAGCCTCTTCTGTGAGTCTGCAGGGAGCAGGATATTTGCCAACATTACAGGTGTCTTGATACTGGCTTCAGACTGATACCATGCATGATTTTAGGTTTCCGAAGCGTTCCCACGTGTCTTCTCCCTGGAATTGGGCAGGGGGGTGGCTCAGATGGCATGCCTGGCCACGTGGCTGTGAGTAGGGGCTCTCAGTACCAGGTAATATGCCTCCACCCAGCTGACCCTCTCCTTACTCATGTGTCTAGGGACAGGACTGGTCTCAGCTCACAGGGTGGAGAGCCTCATCCCTCTTCTCTTCCCCACAGTGGACTGGTTTCCTGTCTTCCGGGACCTGGTCAACATTGGCCTTAAAGCCTTTGCCTTCTGCGTGGCCACATCGCTGACCCTGCTGACCGTGGCTGCTGGCTGGCTCTTCTACCGGCCCCTGTGGGCTCTCTTTATCGCCGGCCTGGCCCTGGTGCCCATCATCATTGCTCGGACCCGGGTGCCAGCCAAAAAGCTGGAGTGAAGCAGGCCCTGGCACCCGCCCAACGCCTGCGTGAGCCCCAGGATGCGGTCCTCCCTTACCCCACCCCAGTTCCACGCCTGGGCGGGGCCAGTTTGGATTCTGCACCCTCTACTCTTCAAGGGGCTGAACTCAGCAGTGTGCTCATGGGTGTGGCATTCACTCATCACATCTTCCCCACCCTCTTCTTGCCAGCAAGCAGCTTTGGTGGCAGAAGCAGCTGACAAGTGGCAAGCTAATAAGCCTTCCCCGCTGGCTTCCTTCTTTTCTCTCAGGACGGAGTGAGTGTAGTCAGATTGTTTCACTTCACTTGGCCGATCTGTCTGTGGACGACGCAGAGACACTCCACGGAGACCTGCTGATAAAGGGCTCGGCGGTATGGCTGCTGCCTCCCACCGCTGAGGACAAGTGCCAGGGCTCCCTCTGCTGCAGCTGCCAGCTGCGCCAGCAATCCTGGGTGGCAACAGACAATCACATGTCCTGCACAGCAGGTGTGCCCCAAGCCAACAGCTGCGGAACTTAAAAAAAAGAAACTCTGACGTCTGTGGGCTTGACACTTCTGTGGCTTGGCAGATGTAGTGTGGAGAGTCTCCAGAGGCCCTGCTTTTCTTTGTTCCTTTGCTTCGTGTGTACTTTTCTACCCCAAGAGGGAGTTATCTGAACCAAGATGTAAAAACTAAAGCACCTGAATAATGAGCAGCATTTCAGACTGTTACAGAAAACACCCTTTCATCTGTCAACTGAAGTTTATTCAGACCATAGAAAGGTGTTAAATTCGGGTGTGACTTAACTGATTAAATAAAAGCTCTTTGAGTATTCTGGGTCATTGGGATGCTTTAGTAAGGATGCTTTTGAAGCAAGTGTCAGCAAAAGGATTTGTTTCTACTCTGGGAGGAGACAGGGAATCTCTACAGGGGTAGGAGAGCATTTCCTTTCATCCTCTGGCACTGGGAACTAACTGTACATTTGAAGATGCTTCTGAGCTTTTTAGTCAACCATTAAAAGGTTGTGCCAGGTATAATTCCAGCACTTTGGGAGGCCGAGATGGAGGATAACTTGAGGCCAGGAATTTGAGACCAGCCTGGGCAACATAGTGAGATGCCATCTCTACAAAAAAAAAAAATTAAGTGGTCAGGCACAGCAGTGCATGCCTGTAGTCAATACTAGCTATTTGGGAGGCTGAGGCAGGATTGCTTGAGCCCAGGAGTTTAAGGCTGCAGTGAGCTATGAATCACACCACTGCACTCCAGCCTGGGCAACAGAGCAAGAGCCTGTGTCTAAAAATAGTAACAATAAGAAAAGGTTGGAAGCCTTATGCAAAGTGGGTCCCTTCAGAGTGGCCCCCAGTCAACCAAAATCAAGAACTGAGGCCTAGGGCTCACTCAAGCCTGGCCTTGTTCTTTTTATCATGAGAGTTTTTTTGACATGGAAGCCTGGGCCTCCAGTGGCTGCTTCTGAGGGGTTTACGTGTTGCCCGAAGTTTTACTCCTGCTAAATAAAACCCACTCACACCTAAGTCACATCATTTCTAAATTCTGCCTACTCTCACACTCTTTTAAAGATAAACTCTGTTATAACCATGATGTCTTAAAAGATCCTTTGCATATCATTTTATTTCCTTCATGTTCAGAAACTCTTGTACTTGCTGGGAGTGGTTGCTTCAGCAACTGAGTATTTGACAGCTGAATAAGGAGTCAGAATATCCAAAACTAGTGATCTGTAATAACCTCGTGTTATTCTGGGAATGTGCTATAAATTGAGATTCTTCATGTGAAAAACACAGCCAGCCCAAGGTGACTTATCTGGGTATAGGACTGAAGCTGTGTTCACTACTGCTTATTAAATGAGCAACTTCATCAAATCTCTAAGCTCTTAAAGGATACTTTTGGGAAAAACAGTGTAACCAGATGATGGCTAAGTACACAATCCTTGTAATTCAGTTTGTGTAGTTTTTCCTAATATGAATTTCAAATTACTGCCATTTTCCAAGTGTTCTTAAAGAGCAAACTTATGTTAAGAAAAATTTGAAGGCTTTGGAAAATTTGTATTACCTTTGTATTTTTGATAAAAATTTGAAATAAATTTCTAAGTATCTTCTGATCTGAGACCTGGATATTATCATGCTGTTGGTTTCCGGGTTTTTCTTTTTTTTTTTCTTGCATTCTTCCTGAAATTTCCATCTTAAAGAATTCAGCCATAGAATGTGTTAAGAACTGAATTTTTAGAACTCAGCTTTGAGTTGCTTTTAGTAGTTAAGCTCCATTTTCATTTTTTAAAGGGCAACTCATTCCTAGCACTCAGAAGCCTTACAAACTAAAGCCTACTTTGTTTTGGCTTGATTTGAAGTGAATGACTCATGCTTCCTGCATCATCAGAATGTGCTAGGAGAGGTGGAAGAGGCCATAACACACTACAGTGCCAAAGGCATCCTGGGCTTTGAAATGACACACAGACCTGGGTTCTGAGCCCCAAGTTGGCCACTGATTGTGTGATGTTGGGGAAAGATCCCTGAATCTCCGTTTCCTCATCTGTAAAATGGTAACAATGCCTTCCCAACTCACAAGGTTGTGAGAAGCTAAATGAGATAAAGCCCATGGAATGCCTGGCACACGTGGCACTTGCGTTGTTCATTTGTTCTGCTTCCTGTTTCTGAAGCACTCCCCTCTGGAGCTAAGAGTTTGAGCACTTTTTCACAAGCGAGTGAGATAACGTTCCAAAACCTATTATTTTATTTCATTATTTTCATAATGTCTCCCAGTAGCTGACATCTACCTGAAGAAGTTACATAGTAATGCCATTCTCAAAACCCCCAAAAACAAGGTTCTGGTACAGAAGTGTGAGACTTTGGTTTCCATAGCAACCCTAGTATATTTCTCAACAAGAGCTTCCAGCCAGGCTCTCAGCACATGAGTCATACCCCAAGTGTTTTGTTTTGTTTGCCCTGGATAAAACTGACTCAAATTTGTAATAGCTCCTCTCAAAGATTAAGTAATATCTTCTCATTTAGACAGAAAAAAAAGAACTCCCTCCATGTGTGTAATGAATTCACAGCCTATATGAGAACAATTGTAATCTTTCATGTAGACTCAACATATAAACAAATCACTGTCATCTGGGTATTCTTGGCTGACATAAAAACTAAAGCTGGGCACAGGCAGTGGTGTGTGCCTTGGAGTCCCAGTTACTTAGGAGGCTGAGGCAAGGGGATCACTTGAGCCCAGGAGTCCAGGCTGGGCAACACAGTGAGACTCCAGGTCTTAAATATACATATATAAAAGAAAATGTAGAGTCACCTTTTTAGATAAATGGTTTATTTTTTTCTCAAAATGTTATAAAAGTGATTTCTCCTGATTACCTATATAGTGCATAGAGCTTTACAAATTTATCCAGGAATGAATAGAACCTAGTTTCACACTGATCCACTTTTCACTAGCATTTCATTAACTCTCAATTTGTGTTTTTCCTTTCTTTCCTGATTTTCTCTCTTTGTTCTGGTCTTCTACTGTAAAACACTACTCTGAAAACCAGACCCCAACACCACCACCACCTGAAATGACCTGTACTTCTCGTTTGCTCTCCCTGCTACAGAAAGGCAGCAAGGGTAGCATTAGCATACCTGGTTCAGGGAAAGGAGGCGCCAGCAGAGAGGAGCCCTAGGACTGTGACATAGGCAAGAGAGCACGTGTCCGACAGATGAAGGCTAACTGGAAGGAGGGATCTGTGCATTCCTAAATGCACCATCATCTGGAAACCTCCCAGTGCCTTCTGTACAAAAACTCCCAGTGTTTCCAAAGGAATAACCGGTCTAGTAGGCCGGAGGGTGTCTCCCTGGAAGGTGTGCCATAGCTGAGAATGGGTGTCCTAGCTGGGAGTGGGTGGGTTTGGTAGCAAGAAACTTGGAAAGCTCCCCTTGGGTGAACGTGACAAGGTCTGGGCCAACCCCACAGCGGCCCCCAACTCAGCCTCCTCATGCAGCTTGGCTGCAGCAGGCTTACCTGCCTTAGCAGAGGAGACCGGCCACCAGGGCCTGGCTACCCTCAGGGCTGGGAGCGGGCCTGCAGCAGAGCAACAAGTGGCCCCATCACAGCTTCTCAAATGGGAACAGGTGGGACGCTGCCGCTTTCTTCTCCTTCCTGGTCTTCTTGGGGCCCTTCGGCGTCTGCTGTGCTTCAGCCTCTCGGTTTTGAGGCCAGGAGGCAGCCAGGATCTTGGCCGCTTCTGCTTGAGAGCTGGTCCCCTCCTCTTCATCAGAAGAAAGTCCTCCTCCTGCATCTGCATGGGGAGCTGCTGCCTCACTCTGGATGGGTGACAGAGGAGGGGAATGCAGGCAGGGCCAGGGATCACATACTAGGAAGTCACAGCCAGAGGCAGAAGCTCCCAGCCTGCCCAGAACTGTGTGACTGCAGGAGGACGCGGTCCCTGGGTAGAGGGGCCCTGCTGGTCTTACTGAACCTTGCTTAGCCCAGTGTGTCCAAGCAGACCCAAGAACAGGATATGAGCTGAGCGCTGGGAGCACCAGGAAGTCCAGGCAGGAAGCTGCCCTGGGAGCACGGCATCCTGTCTAGGGATCACCACTTTGGTTTGCTGCCGCATTTCTGAACAAAACTGCATCACGTCTTGAAGTGCCCAGATGCACAGCACCTACCCTCAGGGCCACATGGTCGGAGGCAACACTCTGGAGGCCAGGACAGCTGAGGGGGTGGATGAGGAGTGGGCAAGGAGCCAGTCAGCACACACAGCCAGCTGTGAGGGCTGCTGATGGGATTCGAGGCAGGAGCATGACAAAACTACTTTTTAAAGGCAAACAGGCAGCACGGAGGGCCGGAGGGAAGGAACAGCACACCCAGAGCAGTTTCTGCTGCGTCTGACCCAGGACTCCTCATACCACATAACCATGCCAGGGCGTCTGTCTGCTCCCAAATGGGGCCCCTGAGGGCCTCACAGCAAATCCACACTCGTGCCTGCAGCCTGGCGCATGGCAGGTGCTATGAGGGGTACTGAGTGTGCGGGGCAGGCCTGCAGGGCGGCCACAGGCCCTGAGAACACTGAAGGCGGAGGGGGCGCAGCAGACACAGAGTGCACAGGATGTGGCCCTCTGGGGCACTGTTTGGCACCAAAGCAGACCCACAGAGCCACACGTGGACAGAGAGGGGGGCAGGGCAGGGCTGGAGCACCAGCTGAGGCCTCCCTCCAGGGATGCCCTTCCCCAGAAGGACAGGACGTGGGCCTTAGAAACACAAGATGGGGGCCTTTCCAGCGTAAAGCCACCATGACTTGGTGTCTGGGCAGAGCCTGGGCCAGGGATGTCTGAGGTGCACCTCTGGGAAACCCACCGGCCTGTGTTCTCACCGTGGGCCCATAGCGAAGTCTCAGCCTCTCCCTGATGAGCAGCCCCTTGGCCAGCAGCTTCCAGTTCCCCAGAGCCCGCTTCTCCCTCTTCTGCAGCAAAAGAGAAGTGGGAGAAAATGTGAAGCACAGACATTTCCAGGAAAAACACTGAGACTGAAGTTGAGAGCATAAATATAAACATACACATGTACACACATACAATTTGATGTTAAAAGATACAGTCTCTCCATCAAGTCTCATTTTGTACAAATTGATCTGATTTGTAATTGGTCTATACTTGAAAGCTACCAAAACAAGATAGCTCCTTTTTACTGTTACTGACTGAGGTTTCTAGTGGATGAGGGCTTCAGACCCGTGCCCCAGCCGTTCCTCTCCAGACAAAGGCCAGAGTTGGCAGCAGGGACAAGCAGTGCCCAGAGCCCAAGCCAGGCCCGCTATGGACAGGTAGGCAGGGCCTGTTTGATCCAGTGCTAGACCCTTCAAGTGCTGGAGAGAGCTGTGGAGAGCAGGGACTCTCCCATTCTCCTACCCACGTTGCCATGAGGCCTGGGAAGCTCAGGTTGTGTACCTGCTCCCCTCAGACGACTGCCCATGCCACTCACCTCCTTCTCCTTCTTTTCAATGAGAGCCTGCTCATTTTCCCAAGCAGTCAGGAGCACATCTTTGAATTCTTCACAGACTATGTACCCGTCGGTTCTGGGGGAACACAACACCATGCCCTTGCTTGGGTCTGATGCCTGCTCTGCCGCCCCTCCTTCCTCTGCAGAGGACACCGGGCCACTTCTAAACACAAGGGACCCTGAAGAATGTCCTGGGCCAGCCAGGGACCAACACCACCCATGAGGAAGGCAGGCCTGGGGAACCTGTCTCTTCCTCCCCAGTCCTGGCCTGAGAGAGTTGGGGAGAGCCCCCAGCCTAGCTCCCAACCCGAAGACAGGATGGAGCTCACTAACCAGGCAGTCACCCAGGAAGGATGCTGACCCCTCTCTGCCCACAGTCTATGGCCACGCCCAGGGAACAATGTTTTAATCCAGCATGAGTGGGATGCTGGCTTCAGTGGTTTTGCTGCCTCCGATGGAAGCCGGAACTGATCAAGTGTTAAGACTGACTTTGTAGATCCAGCGTAAAATCCTGAAAAGACGAGCCACCAGGCCTCGACCCCCAGCAGCCCCCAACAGCCCTCCAGCCCCAGCTCCAGAACCTCCCCATCTACCCAGGGACCGTCATGTACACGGGATGGGAGTAGCCTCCATGGAAATCGAAGCCAGTGATGGCCTGGACGCAGTCAATGTCCAGCTTGCGGGCCACACGGTGCAGATTGGGCAGATTCAGCTGGACACAGCCAACGGGCATCATGCTGGGCAGGAAGAGGTACACGTTCCCAAACTCATTCCGGGGCACCTGCGGAGGGAGCACGTGCTACGACTGCAGGCTGGGGAACCGCACGGCCTGTCCCACCCCTTCTGATGCCAGCCTTACCTTCCCGTCCACAGCCACAGGGGGCTGATACTCCTCCGTCTGCCAGTGGCCAAACAGACCCAGGTCATTGTGCTCCCGCAGCTCGGGCTCAGCAAGCCGGGCTTTCCGGGCCCGGTTGGAATAGCCTTTCACCATCTACACAGACGAAGCAGCCGCAGTTTCAACAAAGACTTCCAGGTCCTGAGTGCTTCCTTCAAGCCTGGTTCCAGCTTGGGGCTGCAGGCCTGCTGCCTCGGTCAACCCTCACAGTAAACCCACCAGGAGGGGGGCTTTCCCTCCCTTCCATGACAAACAGCGCTGGCTCACATTTACAGTGTTCTCTTTGGCCCATGTATGTTGCTACTCATTTAGTCTTCCAATAAGCCCAGAGGCAGGTCTTGTTACCACTTCCATCTTACAGATAAGCACCCCAGAGGGAACACGTTCCACCCCAAGTCAACAGCTCACAAAGGCCAGAGCCTGCTCTTGGCCCCGCCTATGTTCCAGACTTTCATCACTGACAGAGAGATTGGGTAAATGACAAGAGCCAGGATTACAGCCAGTCACTGTCCCTCTGCACAGCCTGTGTCTCTACCACTCTGTGACCTTATGCCACCTCACGCACCTGGGAAGCACTGACAGATGAGGACCCCCAATCTGTTCCCCAACAGATGTCTAGAGGCCAAGGCCAGCATGTTCCTTGGGAGCTATGGGATGACAGGAGTGCAGGACCAGCAAGGAGGAGATAGTCATATAACCCATGGGCAGGCCAGGTGCAGGTGTGGGGCCAAGTAAAGGATTGGCGCTGGGGCCTGAGCGCAGACTTTGTCTCGTGCAAGGGTCAGCAAGCATCTGCTGCAAAGGGTCACATGTGGCCAGTGCCACATATGTCCTTTTTTTGTTTTTTCAGAGACAGGGTCTCACTCTGTCACCAAGACTAGAGAGCAGTGGCACCATCATAGCTCACTGAAGCCTTGAACTCTTAGACTTAAGTGTTCCCCCTACCTCAGCTTCCTGAGTTGCTGGGACTATAGGTGCACGCCATTTTTTTTTTTCTTTGAGTCAGTGTCTCACTCTATCCTCCAGGCTGGAGTACAGCAGCATGATAGCTGCTCACAGTAGCCGCAACCTCCTAGGTTCAGGCACTCCTTCCACCTCAGCCTCCCAAGTAGCTAGGACTACAGGCACACGCCACTACACCCAATAATTATTTTATTTTTGTAGAGACAAGGTCTCACTATGTTACCTAGGCTAGTCTCAAACTCCTAGGCTCAGGCAATCCTGCTTCGGTCTCCCAAAATACTGGGATTACAGGTGTGAGCCACCATGCCTGGTGGCCAGTAGTCCTTACTCTTCTTGTTTTTATAACCCTTTAAAAATGCAAAAACCATTCTGAGACCAAGGGCCCTAGAAAAACAGTCACCAAGTCAGATATGACCTGTAGCTACAGCTGGCTGACCCGTGCTCTCATGTCCACTCCTGCCAGTTTCTGGACACACTGCTCTCTGTTATCACTTCTATGCTCAGGGCACTTTGGGTTCTAACAGTCCCCTCCGGAGGAAGCCTTTTGTCCAGCACTGCTCAGTAAACATCTACAAGGAAACTCTTACAGAGCATACCAGGGGCCCCATCGTGAGGGAGGGACAGAACAGGGGAAGGCTTTGCTCTCAAGGAGCTCAGTCCTGTGGGGAGAGACATATCTACAACTAGTATGCAGAGCACAGGGCAGAAGAGGAGCTCAGAGCAGGTCCTGTCTAAGCAGTAGCTTAAAGGATGCACAGAGGGGTTGGTCAGAAGAATAAGGTGGATGAGAAGGGTGTTTGACCCCAAGAGCACAGAAGTGTGAGAACCCCACGCCCAAGGCATCTGTAAGTAGGCTGATACAGAGGAGGCAGGCACCAGAGCACCACTTGCGTACCACGTGGGAGGTGTGGGGCTCTGAAGGCACTGGGCAGCTGTGGTGCGTGGGGGAAGGTGTGCAGGGCAGTGTCACGCACAGCCTGTGTCTCAGAAAGAGCCTCATGACTGTGACACAGAGAACGGACTCAGACTGGGAAGGAAGCTACGGCTGTTGTCCAAGCAAAAGATGTTGAGGCAGGAGCTGGAACAGTGGGGATCAGAACAAGGGATGGAGTTTTGAGATTTGGGATTATTCTAGACCTGTGCTAATATGGCTTCCAACAGTCACACGTGGCTACTGAACACTTGAAATGTGGCAAGTCTAAAGTGAGAACAGAAAGTCAAATTCAGGCCAGGTGTAGTGGCTCACACCTGTAATCCCAGCACTTTGAAAGGCCAAAGCATGAGGACTGCTTGAGCCCAGGAGTTCAAGACTATGTTGGGTAACATAGTGAGACTACAAAAAAAAAAAAAATTTAGCCGGGCTCGGTGGGTCAGCCTGTAATCCCACGTTTTGGGAGGCTGAGGTGAGTGGACTGCCTGAGCCCGCAGTTTGAGACCCGCCTGGGCAACTTGGCAAGACCTCATCTCTACAATACATTTTTTTAAAAAATTAGCTGGGCGTGGTAGCGCACACCTGTAGTTCCAGCTACTTGGAAGGCTGAGGCGAAAGGATCGCCGGAGCCCAGCAGGTCAAGGCTGTGGTGGCCAGGAACAGCCACTACACTTCAGTCTGGGTGACAGAGTGAGACTCCAACTCAAAAAAAAAAAAAAAATTTAGCTAGGTGTTGTGGCATGTGCCTGTAGTCCCAGTTACTCAGGATGCTGAAGCAGGAGATCTATCTGAGCCCAGGAAGTTGAGGTTGCAGTGAGCCTTGACTGTACCACTACACTCCAGCCTGGGTGATAAGGTAAGACCACAACTCAGAAAAAAAAAAAAAAAAGCCAAATACACACAAGACTTAATAAGAAGATAATTAATTTAAAATACCTCACTGACATTTTAAAACATTTCTTATGCAGAAATGATAAGATTTTAGATATATCTGGATATGTTTAAATGTTAAGATCCACCTATTTTGTGTCTTTTACTACGGGTAACTTTAAATGTGTGGCTCCCGTTTCACTCTCACTGGACAGTGCCATGCTAGAAAGAAGAGCTTGGCTCTCTGATGGGAAGGTAGACAGGTGAGGAGGTCTAGGGAAAACCCCAGCGGTCCTTCAGGCCCGAAGCAGGCAGCATCGTGCACTCGAGCCTGCTGCTGGCAGTGACCTGCCACCAGTACCTGCAGCCCCAACCCACTAAACAGGGGTCCCACCCAGCTCCACAGTCTTATAACCCCCAAGGACTCCTCCTGGGGTCTGGCAAAGAGAAGTAAATGTGTCTGTGACAGGCCAGTGTGCTCTGGTGGCTGAACTGAGTGGTGTGTCCTGTGAAAGTCTTTGCTGTGCTGAGTTCACACTCCTCACAGGCAACTGGCCTAACAGGATGAAAGAAGCTACCCTGGCATCAAGGCAGGGCCTGGGATTCTTGCCTGGGCTCTGTCATTTCACTCCCTGTGAAGCCTAGGACAAGTCATTTTCCCTGAGCTCTGATTTTCTCATCTGTAAAAAAGGGCATCGAAATGCCAATTCCTGTAGTTGTCGAGCCCTAACAGAGATCACACACATGCAGAATACTAGTGAACTGTCCAACAGAAGGAGCAATCTGATGGGAGAATGTGTCTCCACAAAGCAGGGTTCTGGTCTCTTAGAACCATGTAGGAACCCAGTGCCAACCTGCAGGACCTCTGAGTTCACAAAAGTCTGGGCCTATTTTTTCACCTAGATTTCTTGTGTGTTTTGGAAGACCCATTTCCTGTTGGGAGCCGGCCACGGAGGCCCACTGAGCATGGATCAGGGAGGGCCGTGGATCCTGAGACCACTAGGATGCGTTCGGGAGCTGTTGACCCCATTCCTTCTCCCTTTTCTTGCTTAGCACTATAGCCAGAAAGAACTCCTGCTAGCTCAAGCATAGAACTCTGAAACCCAGAGGAATACAGCTAACTTTAGAAACTCATTGTTCCCTTTTTCCTACTGATTGCGGTTTTGGCTTTAGTACAACTTACAGTTTAAACTTGGGTCACATCTAAGAGCCTTAGTACAGGTCACAGGTTTTTAGTATGGGGGCTGAGAAATAAAATAATTTTATATAGTAGCTATGTAGTTCTTGTAGCCATTTTGAGTGAGATCATAATCATTTGTTCCAAGAAGTGGCCCACTGTGAACTTTGGACTGGGCCACATTCTGGAGAGCCCAGCTTGATCTTTGGACTGGGCCACATTCTTTAGGAACTGGTTTGAGCTATAATTAAGAGTTTCCATAGCAATTGTGTAAGTTAGGATTAGTAGAATTAGCATAGAATAGAAAGGTAATAAAATTTAAGTTAGTCATCGTAAGTATTGTGTACACATGAGCTTTAGAAAAGTTATTGATTATTAGAACATCATGATGCTAGTAGGGATTGTTGCATTGCTTTTGAGGAACATTAACCAAGCATAGGGAACAGTAAGACAATTTTGGGTTTGCCCTTCCTCATACCTAAGAAAACATCTGGTGGATGGGGGACACCCCTCACGCACCTGGCTTTGTGTTCGAGTGAAAGACATGTGAGACTGACTGTGCAAAATTTGGGGATAAAAGACCCATTGTAATTCCCAATAAACGACTTCTGCAGTAAACAGGAGTCCAGTCTCTTTCTTTCTCTCTAGTTTCTTCTCTCTTTCATAAATCGCCGACGCCATCACACCAGCCAGAGACCCCCCCCCAACCCTTGCAGGAGCAGGACTCCTACAATTTTCTACAAATTCCTCATTAATAAGACATAATTTATTTATTTTTTTTAGTTGGAGTCTCACTCTGTCATCCTGGCTGGAGTGCAGGAGCACGCTCATGGCCACTGCAGCCTCAAACTGCTGGGCTCAGGCAATCCTTCCACCTCAGCCTTCCAAGTAGCTGGGACTACAGGTGCACACCACCACGTCCGGCTAATTTTTTTTGTTTACTGTAGAGAAGAGATCTCACCATATTCCCATGGTTGGTCCCGAACCTGTGTGTTCAGGCAATCCTCTCACCTCTGCCTCCCAAAGTGCTAGGATTACAGATGTGAGCTACTATGCCCAGCTAAGACATAATTTAAATGCTTGTCTCTTCCTCAAATCCTGCTCAAGTCAGAGAAGTGAGACATTTCTGGATTCCTATCCTGGGCATGCACTGCACGGCTCATCACCCCCTGACCCAGCTTTCCCACCCAGCTTCAGTCCTGTGCCCCCACTCTCTGTAGGGTCCCCCATCTCCGGTTACCTTGTAGGGCACTTCTCCAAGCCTCACCACTCTTGCTTTCTTCAGCCACGTGTCCTTGGAGTGCAGGGTGTGCACACAATCCCTACAGGAGTCAACAAGGGAGATAAAGGGCAAACTCAGCCCACATCCCTCTGCAGGGACACAAGGCTGTGGCACCCTGTAACCTTTTGCAGAAGGAAGGGTGCAGCCCCCCTCCTCCAGGAAGACTCCCTCCTCAGGCTCTGCCCACCCTCCATGGGCTGGCCCTGCTCCCAGAGGAGCTGCGTCAGGCAAAGAGCCTCAGACCTGGACGGCCTGTCTCTGCAGGGATGTACCCTCTGACACATCCTAATTTGGAGTAGTCACGTTAGGCTCTATGCCTCGCCTCCACCGCACCGCCCCTTCCTAGATTTTCCTCACTCTGCTGTCCAGAGCTCAGTGAAGCTTCCCCAGCAGCCCACCTGGGGTGAGGTAAAAGCCACCAGTGCAGGTGCAGTTACCTGGCACTAAGAGAACCAGCAAGCACCTGCTGAGGGTCTGGTCTGTTGCTGAACACCCATGAGGGAAGGGACAAGTGTCCAGGGGAGGGGACATGAACCCAAAATAAGGCTACATGGAAACTAGCTATAAGCAGCATAAAAACTATCATGGAATTAAGACACATGCATCAGGACAGTTCATTGACCATGGCAGCTCATGGTTACAGCAGAGATCTCTGGCTTCACCTCCTTCCAGAGCTAAGAGCTCATTGCAACCCTGTGCAATTCTACTTTCCAGCGAGGCTCAGTGTCTTCTCTTGCCAAGCCACCTTTAACAGGGCATGTCCATCTCTTTAGCTGGCGCTCCCTAACTCAGTCCAGGGAGAGGGGTTCCAGTGAGCCAGGGCACTAGTGAAGTGTTCCTTCCAGTGCAGACATCAGGCCCATACCCGCCAGATGGTCTGAGGCTGAATTTCTGCACAGCACAAGGGACATGGGTCAGATCTTGCCCATGCCACTTCCCAGCTAGGTGATCTGGACAAGTCACTTTATCTTCAGCAAGCCTCAGTGTAGATGGCCCTCAGCTTTCCATGGTTCAGAACTTTTCAAGTAATGATGATGGCAAAGCAATATACAGCCAGGACAAACCATACTTCAAGTACCATACAAGTACTCTTTCACTTTCAGTATGGTATTAAATAAATTACATGAGATATCAACACTTTATTACACAGTGGGCTTTGAGTTAGACAGTTTGCCCAACTGCAGGCCAGTGTAAGCATTTTGAAGGTAGGTCAGGCTAAGCTATGATGTGCAATAGGTTAGGGAGCTCAATGCATTTTCTTTATTTTTTTTTTGAGTTGGAGTCTCACTCCATTGCCCAGGCTGGAGTGCAGTGGCACATTCACAGCCACCCCACGGTCGACCTTCTGGGCTCAGCCAATTCTTCCACCTCAGCCTTCCAAGTAGCTGGAACTACAGGTGCACGCAACCATGCCTGGCTAATTTTTTGATTTACTGTAGAGACAAGGTCAGTCTCACCATGTTGCCCAGGCTTGTCTCAAACTTATGGGCTCAGACAATCCTCTTACCTCGGCCTCACAAAGTGCTGGGATTACAGACTTGAGGCACCGTGCCAAGTCTGCATTTTCAACTTACAAAGGAGTTCTTCAGGACAGCGCTCCATCACAAATTGAGGAGCATCTGTCTCCTCATCTATCAGCTAGGAGTAATGAGCTGGGAGGACCAGACACTTCCTCAGTGCAGGAGCAGTACTTCTCAGTCAGTAACATCACTCCATCAGGATTACGATTGCCCATAATTACGTCACAATAATAGGAATCGGGAAAGAAAGATCAGATCAGGGTTGACAGGCAGGCATCGTCTGGACTTTTTTTTTTTTTTTTTTTGAGTAGGAGTCTCACTCTTGTCGCCCAGGCTGGAGTGCAGAGGCACACTCACGGCCACAACAGTCTCGACCTGCTGGGCTTAAGCAATCCTTCCGTCTCAGTCTTCTAAGTAGCTGGAACTACAGATGGACGCCACCATGCTCGGCTTGTTTTATCTTGTGATTTATTATAGAGACAAGGTCTCACCAAGTTGCCTAGGCTGGTCTCAAATCCCTGGGCTCAGGCAATCCTCTCACCTCGGTCTTCCAAAGTGCTGGGATTACAGGCTGAGCCACTCCACCCAGCCCATCTGGACATCTTTCTTTCTTTTTTTTTTTTTGAGTTGGAGTCTCACTCTGTTGCCCGGACTGGAGTGCAGTGGCCGCTCCCGACCACCACAGCCTCAACCTGCTGGACTCCGGTGATCCTTCCACCTCAGCCTTCCGAGTAGCCGGAATTACAGGCGTGCGCTACCACGCCCGGCTGATATTTTGATTTATTGTAGAGATGAGGTCTCGCTGCCCAGGTGGGTCTCGAACCCGCGGGCTCAGGCAATCCACTCACCTCAGCCTCCCAAAGGCGTGGGATTACAGGCTGAGCCACCGAGCCCGGCTCTCATCTGGACATCTTTCTAAAGAAAACGGCAAGGATGCAGAAACAGCCTCCTCAAAATAGATGTTAACTTCTAACCACTTCACACTTCAGAGGATGGCTATTACCAAAACACAGAAAATAAGTGTCAATGAGGATGTGGGAAAAGTGGAACCCTTGTGCATTGTTGGTGAAAATGCAAAGTGGTGTAGCCACTGTGGAAACAGTATAGTGGTCTCAAAAAATATTAAACATAGAATTACCACCTCATCTAGCTATTCCACTTCGGGTATATACCCCTCAAAATTGAAAGCAGGGTCTTGAAGAGTATATGTTCACAGCAACATTATTCACAACAGCCAAAAGGCGGAGGCAACCCAGGTGTCCATCGATGAAAAAACTGATAAGCTAAATGTGGCCTATACACATAATGGAATATATTTCAGCCTTAAAAAGGAAGAAAATTCTGACATATACTACAACATGGGTGGATCTTGATGACATTATGCTAAGTGAAATAAGGACTATAAATACTGCATGATTCCACTTATAGGACGTACTCAAGTAGTCAAATTCACAGGGACAGGGACAGAAAGTAGAATGGTAAGGCTTCGGGGGTGGAGGGGTGTGATGGAGAGTTAGTGTTTAGTGGGGACGGAGTTTCAGTTTGGGAAGAGAAAAATGAGTTCTAGAGATGGATGGTGACAATGGCTACACAACCAAGTGAATGGACTTAATGCCACTGAGCTAGATAGTTCAAACATGGTTACGATGGCAAATTTTAGGCTATGCTTATTTTACCACAATAAATCAACAAATGTGCACCTCTAATGTTTTCTTTTGCCACTGACAAGGTGTCCCTGTACTACACTGGCATTCTCTTCCCACTAGACTTCCCTCCACTTGAGGAAGCCTCTCTCAGGACGGCCCAGGTCCCCTTAACTGTTGGGTGCTAAAGCCCCAGAAGAGGAGTGAAGTCCTGCCATGAGCTGGGCATGGCGCTCCCTGACATGGAACAGAAAGCTACAAGACTGGGTGGGGAGGGGAGGGGCAGGGGAGGAGATCCCCGAACCAGGGTCGAGGGGAATTAGCAGGCAGGAGGCAGAAGCCAGAGGACTCAAAGCACCTACTCTCATGTGGGTTTTCCCACACTTCCTTTCTTTCCATATCTTTTCTGTTGTCCTATCTATCAAGAACGTCTCTAATTTTTTTGTCTTACACTTCAGTGTTTTTTATTTTTTTTTTTTTATTTTTTTTTTTTTTGAGTTGAGTCTGTGTCACCCAGACTGGAGTGCAGTGGCTGCTCCCGGCCACCGCAGCCTCGACCTGCTGGGCTCCGGCAATCCTTCCGCCTCAGCCTTCCAAGGAGCTGGAATTACAGGCATGCACTACCACGCCCAGCTGATTTTTTGACTTATTGTAGAGATGAGGTCTCGCTGCCCAGGCAGGTCTCGAACCCGCGGGCTCAGGCAATCCACTCACCTCAGCCTCCCAAAGGCGCGGGATTACAGGCTGAGCCACCGAGCCCGGCTTCAGTGTTTTTTAAAATCACTTCTTTTATTTTCCTTTTATTGATATTTCTCAAAATTGCTGTTTCTATTTTTATTTTCTCACCACAAAATTACTAGCACTTTTTGCAGTTTTAATTTTGTATATATTTTATTCATCTTATTCCACTTTGTTTAGTGATTTCTCCTTATTGTGTTATATAAAATGTAACAACATAAAATACACCATTTTAACTGCTTTTAAATGTAGTTCAGTAGCATTAAATCCATTCACAATGCTGTGCAACCATCACCACTATCCATTTCCAGAACTTTCTCATCATCCCAAACACAGTTCTATACCCATTAAAATATCCACTCCTTTTAATTTTTGTGATCAAATCCTTTACTGTCCTTTTGTATGTTTTTAACTTATATTTGAGAATTGTGCTTATTATTGCCCTATCTTGAGTTTTATTTGTCTTACTTTGTGTTTTATTTTCCCTCACAAGTTCTTTTTCCTCTGCTGGTTTCTTTATTCTTGTTGCTTAACTTTCAAGCTTTAGTCTCTCCTACACATCACGCACACAGCAGCGCACCCATATCCTATAGCTCAACCACTAAGAATGCTGTTAACCGTAAGATGAGCTTCCACTACAGCCCCTGGGCTCAGGAAGAAAGCTGCTAATCCCAAACCATCAGGAAGTCCCAAGGCCAACTGGGTTGCCTCACGTACCTGGAGTAGACAGCTTCTCCACGACAATACCCAAGGATTGCAGCTGTCTCAGGATAGATGGCCTCATATTTCAGGAGATGCCGCTTCAGGGCATACAGAGGGTGGTTCTTATATAAGCCAATGGCAGTGGGTAAAGGCTGGTCCAGGTGTTTTGCCTGAAACTGCAAAGGCCAGACAGACAATGTTGAATATGTTATTTAGAAGAGGTCTGAGGCAGAAGATGCTTAGACAACTAGCTCTGAAGACAGATGGTGGAGTCGAGGGTTTATGAACTTTGTAAACATCGCACCTACAGTTCTCGCCACTAAGTAGGTTACAGATCAGTCAAAAGCTATGAAGAATCAAGTAACTCTTTGGCTGTGACAACTTCAAAAAGCCATCTATTTCCAACCCTTAGACATTTTAGCCAGCCCTAGCAGATCACTGTCTGCCCTACTGGAGACCTTTAAGGAAGGAAAGCACAGCTTTATTCAGTCAGAAGGTCTTATATTGAGGAGGCAGTCCTACTCTATAATGCGAGCTCATCTGATTCGGCTCTCACAGGGGACTGAAAGGAGCAGCTCACACCCTGTGCCTCTTCTCCTGGTCCCCTATAACAAGTGTATGTGCTCTCTGCACCTGTCTAAGGATTCTGATTGCTTAGTAGACAATTCCACTGCTGTAACCACCAAGGTCCCTTAAGCTTTCCACTGGCATCTCTTCTAAAACCCCAACAGAGTAAGAGCTGGCAATGTGCAGTAGCTGAGGAGGAGAATACTCTGCACATTTGGCTTCCACTGGTGCTTTAGGTAGGTTGGTTACAATACAATTTGCATAATTCCCACTTAATCTGCCATTACTAAATAAAATGAACCACGAATACCCCCAGGGCAAACTCCCAATATGGGATGAATTGCACTGCTCTAGGAAATTCTAAATAAATCCTGAGTGATCGGAAACTAACTGCTGGCAAGTTTGGTTCTAGGACCAAGTGACAAAGCTGTGTCATGTTCTAGACGTCTCTACTTCCCAGCGTGCCTTCTCAACAAACTGAAGACATTTCATTATTCCAAGTTTCCTCCTTTCCAGGAGACAAGTGTCCTATAGGTGGGAGGTGTGTTTGTGTATGTGTCTGTGCATATGTGCATGATAGGAAAGGGGTAACAATATAGTGATGAGTTATTCCTTCTTTTAGTCAAAGTTGTATGACTTGCATAAATTATGTTAAACCTCCAAATTCACAACTGATCAGTAACTAAAAGTATATAGACTTCAAAGCTACAAAGACCTGGGTTCAAATACTAAGTCAGTTAATCTCTCAGCTCTGCAACTTTTTACCAGTACAACTAAGGCAATAGTAATCCGGCTTTGTAATGTTGTGATAAATAAGAAAACACACTAAAAATACCCAACTGTGCATATCTATGTACTGTGCACATATTAGGTGCTCAAAAACAGGAATAACTATAATAACCTGAGTGGGTCTTGGAGCCCCTAGCAGCCAAAATCTTACCTCTGAGTCTTCCTTCTTCTCCCTTTCCACAAATGGGCTCTGGTATGGCCTCAAGGTCTCAGCCCACCACTCAGCTTCCACCCGGCACTTACGGGTTGCTGTCATCCAGGCCGGGTCATACCTCTGTGTGACATCTCGGACCCAGCCATCATTGTCGATGCCCACCACATAGGTCACAGGCTTGGTGGCATACCTGTAACAGGTCAGAGGCTGGCCCACCACACCATGGACACAGTCCACACATATCCACTTTTCTTCCTGTACACAGAACACCTCTAACCACTGGTCTACACCAGCCGGGCTCCCTCTTTCTGCCTGCTCACCATCACTGGGCATTTTCTTGCCTTTCTTGCTGCGCGAAGAGCTTGAGGATGCTGCTGGAAAGCCTGGGTGCTTCTGGTGGCTTCCTTGCTGGGTGCTGGAGGCACCCTTGGATCCAGACTTTGGTCTCTGAGGAGTGGAAATCCTGCTCCGCCTCGGAGGGCCAGGTTCAGAATCCTCATCAGAGGGATCGTGGGCTTCCCCACTGGAGAGCTCAAAGTCAGTGCTGCTGCCAGCCTCGCCACTCCCACTCTCCTCTTTGTAAGACACCCTGGAGGACACTCGCCGCTCCCGGCCATGCCAGCGCCGCTGGACTGCCTTCTCCCTCATGCCTTCTTCTTCCTCACTGGAGGAGGGCTCACTCTGCTTCTTTCTGCCTGCCTTGCTCCTCTTCCCGTTGCCTCTTGGATTGCCAGTGCCCTTACACAACGTTTCCTCTTGCTTGGCTCCTTTGCGGGTCCTTGGTTTGCCGTGGTTTTCTAGAACTTGGCTGGAAGTTTCCGAGGATCCTCCAGGAGCCTCCACGGATCTCTCCTTGGAAGATTTCTTTCTCTTAAACAGAACAAGACATTTTGCTAGTTTTTTTCTTTTTTGCTAATGACGTGTTCAGATCCTGTCATCTAAGCAGGTTAAGTCACTGGCCAGAGAACCAGTACACCAAGATGTCCCTGGCTCAGACAGTGAGCAACTGGCTATCCTTTAGGGTTGTATAGAAGTACTAGCTAAAATTCGTAGTACTCCTAACTGTAGAGAAAAGAACATGGGATGTGGGAACAGACAATCCTGGGTTCAAATTCCAGTTCTTCTTGTATACCTGAATTGCATCCCACATCTTTAAAATAAAATAAAAAATCAAATTCCAGTTCTTTCTTTTATCTGTTACTTAAGTTAGATAAATTCATTAATCTCCAAGTCTCAGTTTCCTCAGCAATAAGAATATGCACCTTGCACATACATGTTTTGCAAACAGTTACTTATGGACTTAATATAGCTGTAGTTTTAAGAATACAGAAATTATTCAAATCAATGTCTAGACCGTCAGGCTTCAGATAATGCAAAGACCCCAATGAGTACAGCATTTGGCTTCCTTTCTGGAGCATCACAAAATTCAGAGTCCTTTACCCATCAGTACTCCACATTGCTAATGAGGACAGAAAACATTCTGCCAATTTACAGAACAAAAACTAAAGCCCCTCGGAGTTAGGCCCTCTTGTGGGCCACTCTGCACTCAAAGCTCAGGAGCCAGACACCCCCTCATGCTCAGTCTTCCCTAATGTGGGGTATATGCAAGGCAGGTATTCACCACTAGCTGAGTGACTTTTTTTTTTTTTTTTTTTTGAGTTGGAGTCACACTCTGTCACCCAGGTTGGAGTGCAGCAACATGCTCACAGCCACCAAGGCCTCAACCTGCTTGGGCTCAGGTGATCCTTCTGCTTCAGCCTTCCAAATAGCTGGAACCACAGGCACCCAAGCTTCATAGATCAGCTCTTAAAAATATAACAATGACCAATTTTTTCTTTACGTATGACAATTTCTGTCCTCCTAGTCAACTGCCCTTCTGAGAACCTCACCTTTGCTGCTGATGACTTCAGAGGAATTGGCTTTAGAGACAACACCAGTCGGGTCAGGAGCTGCAGAGCCCGGAGAATCAGTAAAAATATCTACAATGAAAAGGGAAAGATTATTTAGTCTAAGGAAATAATTAAGGATTTAATTGGTTCAGTGTTTGCTGGGTGCTTGCTTATGACAGGGAAAAGTTGGAAGCAACCAAACTGCAGAAAAACAGCAGAAGACTGGAACTCTCAACACCATTGAAAATGATACTGCAGAGAGTCATCTTTGTAGAAAAACGGGAAAATGCTCACCGTAAATTAAATGAGAAAGAAGTTTTTCTTTATAAAATATATGATGTGGTGCAACAGCAACGCAAGATGACAGCCACCACGGGCTCAGGAGTAAAAGTCCCTTGCAATTTCCGACTGTTGGAAGAACTCAAAGAAGGCCAGAAAGGAGAAGGAGATGGCACAGTTAGCTGGGGTCTAGAAGAGGATGAAGACATGACACTTACAAAATGGACAGAAATGACAACTGGGCCTCCAAGAACAAGTTATGGAAACCAAAATTATAGCCTTCAGACAGAATGTGGACCTAAATACCCAGAAGCACCCGCTTTGTAAGATTTGTAACAAAATTAATATAAGTGGAGCTAACAGTTTTAATGCAGTGGTGGACCTAAGAGCCATATTAGTGCTGGCAAAAGGGCAGGACTCATATAGCATCAAAGCTGTCCTGCAAGAGCTTTGGCATCTAACAATATCTAAGGAACACATGAAACTCTCTCAGCTACCTGAAAGACAGTGTTACAGCAGTTAATCAGAAAGAAAAGCCATAGGCCCTTGCCCTTCACCCCTATTCAATTTAAGCAGTCTTCATTCTTCACAGCAGTAAATTTTCTTTTTTTTCTTTTTTTTTGAGTTGGAGTCTCACTCCGTCGCCCAGGCTGGAGTGCAGTGACAAGCTCCTGGCCACCGCAGCCTCGACCTGCTGGGCTCCGGCGATCCTTCCGCCTCAGCCTTCCAAGTAGCTGGAACTACAGGCGCGCGCTACCACGCCCGGCTCATTTTTTTTTTTTTTTGTAATTGTAGAGATGAGGTCTCACCAAGTTGCCCAGGCAGGTCTCGAACCCGCGGGCTCAGGCAATCCAATCACCTCAGCCTCCCAAAGCACAGGATTACAGGCAGAGCCACCAAGCCCAGCTTTTTTTTTTTTTTTTTTGAGTTGGAGTCTCACTCTGTTGCCCAGACTCCAGCGATCCTTCCACCTCAGCCTTCCAAGTAGCCAGAACTACAGGCATGCGCTACCATGCCCGGATAATTTTTTATTTTTATTGTAGAGACAAGGTCTTGCCAGGTTGCCTGGGTGGGTCTTGAATCCGCGGGCTCAGGCAATCCACTTGCCTTGGCCTCCCAAAGTGCTGGGATTACAGGCTGAGCCACTGAGCCCGGACAATAGTAAATTTTCTAGATACATCTCGTAGACCTCAAAGTACTAGAAAGGAAACTCCCAATCAAAGGCAATTTATCTTAAGATACTGTAAATGATACCAATTTTTTGTCCATTTGAAAAATATAACTTGTGCTATAGCCAAAGTATGATGTGATCATATTTCTGTATGAAAAAATTATATGCAAATACAATATAGATTTACATGTGTGTTTAAAAAAGGATCCATATACTGAGTTATGGCTATTTACATGTTTTTTTTCTGCTTACCTATCTTCTGATTGATCTGTATTCAGTATGTGGTGTATTCATGATTAAAATAAAACAATAAAACAAAATACCACTTTGGGAAGAAAAATTAGAAAATATCACTTAAAGAAAAAGTAGAAAAGATCACCTTATTCTTTCTTCCTATAATGAATCGCTCAACTGGAGACTGCCATTCTAGACATTCTGTTAACTGGCAAGCACAGGAGCCTCCCCAGGAGACTTGACCTCCAAATAGCATCAGTGATAGCAAGGTCTCCCTACACAGATCTCCAGGTCCTCACAGTTCTCCTTAATTACATAATACCCTTGTAAGAAAGTCAGAGATGAAAATCAGAAACAGGAAGGCAGGTTTATTGTGAGAAGCCATGTTATGACAAGATAAATAATTATTTTGGTCAAAAGTGTCAAGGCCATGAAAGACAAGGAAAGACCAAGAAACTGTCATACTACTGGAGACTAAGGAGATGTGATAACCAAATGCAATATAGTATCCGGGGTTAGCTCCTGGAACAGAAAAAGGACATCAGTGAAAAAACTTGGAAAATTCAAATAATATCTGTAGTTTAGCGGACAGTATTGTGCTAGTATTAATTTCTTAGTTTATTATACAGTGTGACACAGGAGCACAAGTCTATAATAAGCTGGATAACTAAGTATTCACCACTAGCTGAGTGACTTTTCTTTTCTTTTTTTTTTGAGTTGGAGTCACACTCCGTCACCCAGGTTGGAGTACAGCAACCTGCTCACGGTCACCAAAGCCTCGACCTGCTTGGGCTCAGGTGATCCTTCTGTTTCAGCCTTCCAAATAGCTGGAACCACAGGCACACACCACCACGCCCGGCTAATTTTTCGATTTATTGTAGATATAAGCTCTTACCATGTTTCTCAGGTTAGTCTTGAACCCCTGAGCTCAGGCATCCTCTTGCCTCTGCTTTCCAAAGGATTACAGGCAGGAGCCACAGTGCCCAGCCTAATAATTTCCAGAATATTTTTGTTTTTTGTTTTTCAGTAGGAATCTTGCTCTTGCCCAGGAAGGAGTGCCGAGGCACACTCACAGTCACCACAGCCTGGACCTGCTGGGCTCAGGTGATCCTTGCACCTCAGCTTTCAAAGTAGTTGGAACCACAGGCATGCGCCACCATGTCTGGCTAATTTTTTTTTTTCTATTTTATCGTAGAGATGAGGTCTCGCCAAGTTGCCCAGGCTGGTCTCAACTCCCTGTACTCAGGCAATCCTCTTGCCTCCACCTCCCAAAGTGCTGGGATCACAGGTAGGAGCCACCGCACTTGGCATGACTTTTTTCATTTCTTTTTTTTTTGAGTTAGAGTGTCACTCTGTTGCCCAGGCTGCAGTGCAGTGGTATGTTCATGGATGCCACAGCCTCAACCTGCTGGGTTCAGGTGATCCTTCCGTCTCAACCTTCCAAGTAACTGGAACTACAGGCATGAACCACCATGCCCAGCTAATTTTTTGATTTATCGTAGAGATGAGGTCTTGCCTAATTGCCCAGGCAGGTCTTGAGCCCTTGGACTCAGGCAATCCTCTTGCCTTAGCCTCCCAAAGTACTAGGATTACAGGCATGAGCCATCATGCCCGGCTTCAGCCTGACTCTTCTAAAGCTAGATTTCTCCATTTATAATAATCTCTGCCTCGTCTTTAAACAACTATAAAGACTTTAAAGAAAATTAAATAAGGTAATGAATGTGACAGTACTCTGGAAAGTCTACTGCTAACCAGACATATACAGTCATCACCTTTAACAAGTAATTTATAAACATATGCTGCTGAGGAAAAAAAAAATCAGGTTACAAAACTGAATGATCTCTATACCAACAACTTAAATAACCTAGATGAAATAGACAAATTCCTAGAAACATACAAATTGCCAAACCTGATTCAAAAAGAAACAGAAAATCTGAATAGACCCATAAAAATTGCTTGAATCAGAAATCAAAAACCTCTCAACAAAGAACAGTCCAGGACCAGATGACCTCACTTGTTCAATTGTGAATTCTACCAAACATTTAAAGAGGAATTAACAGTAATCCTTCTCAAACTCTTCCAAACATTAGAAGAGGAAATACTTTCTAACTTGTTCTATGAGGCCAGCATTAACCTAATACCAAAGCCAGATAAACACATCACAAAGAAAACAAACCAATATCCTTTCTAAACATAGATTCAAAATCCCAACAAAATACTAACAAACTGAATTAAATATTATATTAAAAGGGTTACAAAACATAACCAACTGAGACTTATTCCAGGAATGTAAGGGTGGTTCAACATTTTTTTAAAAAAATCAGCCAACATAGTATACCATATCAATAAAATAAACAAATAAAATTCCACAGTATCATTTTAGTTGACACAAAAAAGCATTTGAAAAAATCCGACATGCTTTCATGATTAAAAAAAAAACTCAGAAAACTAGGAATAGAAGGGAACTTCCTCAACATGATAAAGAGCATTCATGAAAACCTACAGCTCATAAAACCCATACTTAATGATGAAAGGTTGAAAGTGTGCTCTTCTACTATCCAGAACAAGACAAGGAGCCCACTTTCACCACTGCTGTTCAACACTGTACCTGAAGTCCTAGCAAAAACAATTACTTAAGAAAAAAGAAAACAAGGCCGGGTGCAATGGCTCACACCTATAATCCAAGCACTTTAAAAGGCTGAGGTGGGAGGATCTCTTGAAGCCAGGAGTTCAAGACCAGCCTTGGCAACATAGTACGACCCTGTCTCTACAAAACATCAAAAATTAGCCAGGCATAGTGACACACGCCTATAGTCCCAGCTGTTCGGGGGCTGAGGTAAGAGGATCACTTGAGCCCAGGAGTTTGGGGCTGTGGTGAGCTGTGATTGTGCTACTGCATTATAGCCTGGGCGACAGAGTGAGACCCCCAACTCAAAAAATAAATAAACGAAAAGAAAATAATAAAAAAGAAACAAAAGGCATGCAAACAGGAAAGAAAGAAGTAAATAATCTATTCATATATTATATGCTCCTACACATATAGAAAATCTCAAAGAATGCACAAGAAAGCTACTAGAGCTAATAAATGAATTCAGCAAAGCTACAGGGTACAAGATTAACACAAAAAATCAGTTGTGTTTCCATATACCTGCAATGAATAATCTAAAAATGAAATTAGGAAAACAATATCATATACAATACCATCAAAAATAATATAGTACATGAGAAAAAACTTAACCAAGAAGTGTATATGAAAACAATATCATATACAATACCATCAAAAATAATATAGTACATGAGAAAAAACTTAACCAAGAACATTGAAAACTATAAAACACAGCTGGAAGAAATTAAAAACATAAATAAAAGGAAAGACAACCATGTTGATGGACTGGAAGACCTAATAGTCCAGATGGCAATGCTACCCAAATCAATCTATCAATTCAACGCAATCCCTACCAAAATTCCAACAACCTTTATCACAGAAATGGAAAAGCAGACCAATCAAATTCATACTAAATTGAAAAAGGCCCCAAATACCCAAAGTAGTATTGTAAATGAAGAATAAAATTACACTGACACCTCCTGATTTCAAAACTTGCTACAAGTCGGGTACAGTGACTCATGCCTATAAGCCCAGCACTTTAGGAGGCCAAAGGGAGAGGAATTCCCAAGTCCAGGGGTTTGAGACCAGCCTGGACAACTTGGCAAGACCTTGTCTCTACAATAAATCAAAAAATTAGCTGAGCATGGTGGCGTGCACCTGTAGTTCGTTCCAGCTACTTGGAAGGCTGAGGTAGAAGGATTGTCTGAACCCAGCAGGTCAAGGCTGCGGTGACAATGAGTGTGCCAATGCACTCCAGCCTGGGACAACAGAGCAAGACTCTGACTAAAAAAAAAAAAAAAAAACTTACTACAAAGCTACAATAATTAAAACAGTGGTATATTGGCCTAAGAATAGACATGTAGACCAATGGAATAAAATTAGGAGGATGGAAATTAACCCATACATTTATGCCAGTTAATATTTGACACAGGTGCCAAGACCATTCACTTTCCAATAAAAATAGTCTCTTCAACAACTAATGAAAATAATAAAGCAAATAGTTAAATAATCTCTTCAAATAATAGTGCTGGGACCACTGGATATCTACATGCATAAGAAGTAAGTTGAACACCTACTCACGTACAAATATTAACTCACAATGGATGAAGACCTAAATGTAAGAGCAAGAAAACAAGAAAACACAGGGATAAATTTTTATGATCTTGGATTTGGCAATGGATTCTTAGATATGGCACCAAATGCACAAAGAACTAAAGAAAAATAGGTAACTTGGACTTTACCAAAATTAAAAACTTCTGTGTATCAAAGGATTCTAACAAGAAAGTAAAAAGACAACCTAAAGAATGGGAGACATTGGAAGGTCAAGGTGAGAGGATTGCCTGAGCCCACAGGTTCAAGACCAGCCCGGGCAACTTGGCGAGGCCTCGTCTCTACAATAAATCACCCTTAGGGGTAACAAGAATAGTATGGAAGTAGAGATGGTGGTTGCCCAACATTGTAAATGTACTAAATGGCCACTGAATTGTACCCTCTTAAAAAACCATATGATCCATTTTTGCTTTTAAAAAGCAAGCAAAACAAATACATATGTACACAAATACACAGGAACAAAGTCTGGAAGGACAATACTAAAATATTAATGGTTTTCTCTGGCAGCAGTATTAGAAATATCAGCCTTGCCAAACATCTTAGATTTTTTTTTTCTTTGAGTTGGGAGTCTTACTCCGTCGCCCAGGTTGGAGTGCAGTGGCACTCTCATGGCCACCCCAGCGTCAACCTGCTGGGCTCCGGTGATCCTTCCGCCTCAGCCTTTCAAGTAGCCAGAATTACAGGCGCGCGCTACTATGCCCAGCTAATTTTTGATTTATTGTAGAGATGAGGTCTTGCCAAGTTGCCTGGGCTGGTCTTGAACCCATGGGCTCAGGCAATCCACTCGCCTCTGCATCCCAAAGTGCTGGGGTTACAGGCTAAGCCACCGACCCTGGCCCTTAGATTTTTAAAGTTAACACAGAAAAAGAAAACTAAAGATGTCAGCCATTTGGCCTCTACATATACAAAGTCGGGTCTCTTTTTCCAAACACACAGACAACATGGGGCTCCCAAATACAAGTATATGAATTAGCAAGATTCTTCCAGAGATGAAACTACATTTCCAGCTCTGTTTTTGTTTTATTCAGACACAGCCTTGCCTACGGGTGCCTGTAGGTATTTGAGAAATCCTGTTTATCCTATGGATCACTTTGCCACCACAATTCCTTCTTCCTAAGAACCTTCCTTACTCCACAGCTGCCTGCCAGTGTCACCACCCAAATGTGAGGTATGGCAACACATTTTCAAAGACTTCCGCATCCAATCTGAAAAACATTTCCTTGGGACTTCTGAACACAATATCTGAACAATTAATGAAAACATTTCTAAGGCATCTGGCCAAAAACTAAGAGCTTTAGTACACCAGGACACCAAGTTACAGGAAGGAAAGCATGCAGGCCTTCCACTCAGACTATAACCCTAGTCTTGACTCCAATGCTCACCAACTGAATGGCCTCAGGGGTAGCACTGGGCTCCTACAGTTTTAAGTTTCTATGGAGGTCACTATGAAGGCTGGATAAAAGGTAATACATGTGAAACATCGGGAGTGGTGTCTGGCACATGATTGCCATGATTATTAATTAACAGTACTAATAAAACAGTGCTCTTGGAGGAATCACTTACATGCACCAATTCTTCATCATCTCGTGCAGAGTAAATAGCAAATCTCCTTTCCAACGTAGTCTGCAGGCCATCTTGCTCATTGACTGAAAGGTCTGCATTAACTGTAAATGTTCCAATGAACCTGGGGAGAAACCAGGCATTCTTTGTATCAGATGTCAGGGCAAAGAAGAATTTTCATTCTTTTACAGCCAAGAAAATCAAATGGGGGGTGGGTTGTGAGACCTGCCTGCCTCCGTCCCACTCTTCCCAGTTTGTCTGGCTAACTCCTATCATCACTGCAGACCCAACTCAGACCTCACCCCCTCAGAAAGCCTTCCCAGAGCTCCTGCTGTGCATGCCCATAGTCTACAAAATACCTCCTCCAAGCAGTCCTCACACTACTCTGTAATTACCTGGTCTGAATTTGTCTACCACCAGCCTGACAACTCTACAGGGCAGGACCATGAGTGGTCTTTTTCTGTCTGCAATGCCATGCCCACTGCCTGGTACACAGTTCACACCACAGGGAAGGTCTGCGAAACTGAACTGAACCCAGCCCAAGAGAACCACAAATCCCACACTCAAGCTCTGCAGGGAAGAGGGCCTTACCACTTCACCAGGTTGGAGAGGTAGTAGGTATCCACATCTTGAGGCAGCACTTTGGTAAAACGAATTGGGATAATGGAAAGGCCAATAGCACGCAGATCTGGCTGGTTGCAAATGCTATTTCGATAAAAGCCATTTGCCAGCAGGCACAGAAGATGAACCTGCGAAGAGGAGGAAAGGAGGAAGGAACATAGGAGGAAGGCTAAAAACGAGCAGGGATCTGTGTTGCCAAACTCAAGACCCCTTGTGGATAAAGAAATATTTGTTGGGCCGGGCTTGGTGGCTCAGCCTGTAATCCCAGCACTTTGGGAGACTGAGGCAGGTGAATTACCTGAGCCCGCAAGTTTGAGACCCTCCCAGGAAACTTGGTGAGACCTCATCTCTACAATAAATCAAAAAATTAGCCGGGTGTGGTAGCACGCGCCTGCAGTTCCAGCTACTTGGAAGGCTGAGGCAGAAGGATCGCCGGAGCCCAGCAGGTCAAGGCTGCGGTGGCCGGGGGCAGCTACTGCACTCCAGTCTGGGCAACAGAGTGAGACTCCAACTCAAAAAAAAAAAAAGAAAAGAGATATTCATTGCCATTTCTACCTATGAGAAAGTAAAAGTGCTGGCATTACCCATTTTCTGAGACTCTGTGTTTCGCCCCCCCTTTCTCTTTCCATACACTCACCTCCTCAAAGGATCGTCAAATTGCAAAGCTTCGAAATACAAGCGTCTTTTATCCCAAGAGAGAACGTCTTTTAGAGACACATACTTTAGGGTTTCTGGATGAAATGCTCCAGCCAGATCAGGAGGAAAAGGGAGTGGGCCAGAGCTGGCAAGACTGCCCGGGAGCCTGTGGAAGCTGGGGTGCCATGCGGATTCGCTGGACTGTTCTCACCACTTCTGAGTGTGCTGAGCCCAAACTTCTCTGCCACAGACCTCGCGTCTCTGCCAACCTCTGCCCCCTAATCCACCCTCTGCCAGCCTACTGACATGCTCATGTGGCTGTCTTCCCCTTCTCTCACACACGGCTTTGCATCACGTTCCCTTCAATTGGCTTCCTGCTCCCCAATAGCAGCCTCCCCACTTAACCGACAGTGCTGCCTCTTTCCTCACTCAGGCTCTAATCCTTGGAGGTATCTTGATTCTTCCCCCTCTTTCATCTCTGACACCCAGCAAGTGGTGAAACACACACAGCTGTCTCATTTCATCCCGCAGGTCTCTGGGAGGTGGTGTCCCCTTCTCGAGCCACTTGGCCACCCCTGAGCCTCAAGGTTCCAGTGGGAGCTGCACGCACAGCAGCTCTCCCATCTCATCGCTCCCCACCCTGGCAGCCCACTGCCCACCAGAGGAAAATCAAAGCCTTCCCTTCCCTCACCATCCACCACGCACACCCTCCACACATGCAGACCAGCAAGTCATCCCACCGTCCCCTCCACAATGTGGCTAGAGCTTTTGACCCTTTCTCCTAAATCAAGCCTTCCTCAGCTACACAGACCCACACTGACCTCCCTTCACTGTGCTAAACACAGTCTTGAGTTTCTGTTTGGAAGTCCTTGTTCGTCTGTGAGCTCAGACACTCCTTAACTGTAGGAATAAGCTTTACACAAGTCTCTATTCCCTCAATACCAAGGCGCCTTGCTAGGTCTGCAGAGGTATTCAACAACTCCCCATTAAAGTCAAAGCCACGGTGACTTTAGCAGAGATCAGAATTAATGCCACTGAACGGCTAAAAGAAGAGATGCAAGGTGAGCTCCTGTTGTTGAGCCAAGAACTGTGCTACGACTACCTCACCTATAACACACAGCCACCCTCCAAGGTAGGCACTAGTGTTACCCCCACTTCAGAGGTGAGGAAACAAAGGCTCACAGCCAGTAAGAAACTTGCAAAGGCCACACAGTGAACAACAGAACCAGAAATCAAGCCTTGGTCTGACTGACTGAGAAGTCAAGTTCTCTACACCGAAGAATACTGTCCTTCTCACCACCACTGCCCTTACCTTGTGTGTGTCCTCAAGGACCTCCTTATTGAAACGTTTCATCATCCTCCGAAGATGTGCCTCAAACTCCATTTTTATCTTTTCACTGCAGCACATAGTGAAAAAATCCAAAAAAAAAGCAGAAAAGTGAAACCAGACCCACCCCCCGTCAACTCCTCCTGCTCGTAATGATATGTGAATCATGCTCCCTGTTCTCCTACACAAGGCTGTGCTACCGGAACCCACCTGCAAGACTGCTATTTTGAACACACTTTCCTACTCCTTCTCACCCGTAAACCTTGGCTTGGGACATTCTCTACCCAGACTACTGTCCTCTCAACCAGCACTAAATCACACCTCACAGCCATGCCTTAAAGCTCATTTCCTCCAGGAGTCTTTTCTGACTACCTGACACTTCCAGCTCCTGACTCTCAAGTTAACGACCACTGTTTTCATATTAAATTAAAGCACAGTCATGTATATGATGCTGTTCTAGTATAAAATCTCTTTCATATTTTTGTCCTATGAATCTTCAAGCAAATCTGACACTTCTTGAATGACTTCTATTATCTCCCTCTTCTGTGCCTAAGAATGCTCCCACCACACAGTGGAATTCACTAACCAATTAACCACCAGGTTGTACCCTATATCCCTAAGCCATCAGAAGCTGTGGAGGCCCTGGGGACCCTGGGATACACGGGAGCTCTCCTCCATGGCAGGCCCTGCTTTAAGTCCTACAGCATGCTGTGGTGGGAAAAGCATGGTGCTGGGTCAGATGAGAGAGGTGTGCATCTTGGCTCCTCCACTCACTGACTGAGTGACTCCTGGAACATTACTTAGCCGTTTTTTGTTCTAGCTCCTTATCCTAATAGTGTTCTAAGGATTAGGTAAGATGATGAGAGACCTGCTCAGACATTGGCACGCAGAGTTCCCTCTCTTCATCTGCCCAGCCAGGACACAAGGTTTCTCATTCAAGTCCTTCAAGGTGAACCCTAGGCTTTCTCACCAAGGTTCCTGACCACTTTGATACCCAGCCCTGGTGTCCCCTACATGTTTCTCAGAAGTTTTCATTAAGTAGCAGCTCTTGCCTCTTATATGTGACAGTAACCTAAAAGCAAGGACCTGATCTTACCTTCTTTCCCTTGTTTTTGCCTGCTCCGGTGTCTCGATCTCTATCTCCACAGGCTTTACAGGCACAACAGACTGAGAGAAGGCTGTATTTTCTCCCACATCACCCAGCACAGGTTCACTAAGTTCTATCAACAATAATTTTAAAAATCAATAATAATAATTGATTCCATACTAAACAAAATCAAGGATCTGCAGGGAAGAAGTGAGGACTAGATGTGAGTAGAAAACTATACATACCACGCTTTGAATTCCTACAATTGCCAGGCACTGTGCTAAGTGTTTTACATGTGTTTGTCTTATTTAACCCACAAACAACTCAGACAAGTAGCCTTCTATGAGGAAATTAAAGCATAGAGCTACTGGGTTAAATTAGATACAGACCCCTGCAGACAAAAAGCGGATGCTCATGTATGTATGTGTTTTAGTAGATACTCTTGGGAAGAAAAAAAAGGCTAATGAAAACAATCTCTTATTCTCTGTACTGCTGTAATAACATATCACAATTTGCTTTGCATAGTCATGATTTAGGTGCCTGCCTTTCACTTTAAATTGTAAACCTGTAAATGACAAAGAATCTTTTTCATCTCCTTACCCCTATACTGCTTGTAAACACTAGTTAAAATGAACTGAATTTGCTGAACTGGATCTAACTGAGAACTCCATTAGCAAAAGTTCCTTTAAAGAAGGTCTGGACGCCAAGAACACACCTGTTCTAAGGATTATCAGACAAAACTAGGACATGAGACATTCTACAAAACAACACAATAGAACCCTTCAAAAAATACAGTGCAATGAAAAGCAAAAAAAAAAGAGGTGGTGGGTGGTGGGTACAGCTGGCCATTACAAGAGACTGAAGAGACATAACAACAAATTGCAAAGCTTACACCTCGATTGTATTCCGGATTGGAAAAAGAAAGAAGAAAAGGAAACAGCTATAAAGGATATTTTTGTAACAACTGGGGACTTATTTTTTACTTTCTTAGGTATAATAAGGTCAGTTTGTCATGGAGGAGAATGTCCAGTCCTAGGAAATGCACACTAAAGTATTCAGCAGTGAGTTACAGGATGTCTGCGGCTTACTTTCAAATGGCTCCACAGTGAATACTTATAGTAAGAAACACACATTCCATGTGACAAAATGTTAAAGGAAATGAACCTACTGAAGAGTACATGTACATTTCAATTTCTATTGTGAGTCTGAATATTTTCAAAATAAAAAGGTAGGGAAAAGTCATATCAAAAAGGGCAGAATCTCAAGATAACATTAGCTGCTACTGGGCAATCCCTTTGGGTCCCCTCCCACTTTGGGAGTTTTTCTGTCCTCTCAATAAATCCTGTTTTAAAAAAAACAAAATAAGCCAGACTCGGTGGCTCAGCCTGTAATCCCGTGCCTTTGGGAGGCTGAGGTAAGTGGATTGCCTGAGCCTGCGGGTTCGAGACCCGCCTGAGAAGCGAGACCTCATCTCTACAATAAATCAAAAAATCAGCCAGGCTGGTAGCGCATGCCTGTAATTCCGGCTGAGGCGGAAGGATCGCCGGAGCCCAGCAGGTTGAGGCCGCGGCGGCCGGGAGCAGCCACTGCACTCCAGTCTGGGTGACAGAGTGAGACTCCAACTCAAAAAATAAAATAAAATAAAATAAACAAATACTGGAACTCACCAGCTGCTATTTATTGTGAGTATATGACAAGCTAGGCTCATTACATTTGCAAGTATTTTTTTCCCCACAACAATTCTGAGCCTAGCCTGTGCAGGGCTCATAGTAAGTACTCAGTGTTTACAGAATGTTACCACGAACAAAGCCAGTTCAGAGAGGAAAAGTTACTTGCTGGAGGTTAAATTACTTGCTCCCACACTATACAAATGGCACAGCTGGGCTCTGAACCTAGATCTAACTACTTGCAAAGTCTGTGCTTTTTCTCCTATATGATGCTGCCTCTGTTTTTATAGCTACTCCACTGACAGTCACAGAGGAAAAAGAATAAACAACCTTCTTTGTTTCCATTTATCAAAGCAAGTCCCTACTACAGCCTTATCTTTGCCAAATTAGTTTCAAAAGAAAACAACAGCATTGCAAGTAGCTTCAAACAGAATCAAACAAATAGAATCCAGCCATTCTGAAAACAAAGATGTTCACCTTCGACCTCTTCCCAGTCATCTTCACTTTCTTCATCTTCTGGGTCACTGCCTTCAGCCACAGTAGCCCCTCTCTTGGGATGGTGTGCCTTCTTGAGGTCACTTGGGAAGTTTCTGGGTAAACATCACAGGAAGGAAGATGAAGAAGGCTCAGATATCTATTGTTACATTTGAGCTAAATGGAATAAATAAATAAACTCCATCTATTCATGAAGAATCTGTTGCAATTATTTAAAGATGATTAGTGAGCTCTGAGTGTGACTTCCTCCATTAACATGGGTCTCAAAATCGCATCAAGATGTGCTCTGATTGTCAGTTCCATTAATACTAGATAGTTGTCCAAAAACCTACAGCTTAGAGCTGTGTGAAAGAAAACATAGCTGTGCCTGGAAATAGCAAGGGAAAACCTAAAAAAATCAATAATAACGTAGGCTCCAGAAGAGTGTGGCATCCATGTTATCGATATGTGCAGTTGGAGGCCAGAAGGAAGAGAAGGGAGTTTACAATTGCTTATCCTACCATAAGACCACTCAGATTTTTCCTACCTTTAAGAAGTATGGGCCGGGCTTGGTGGCTCAGCCTGTAATCCCAGCACTTTGGGAGGCCTAGCAAGTAAGTGGACTGCCTGAGCCCACAGGTTTGAGACCAGTCTGGGCAACTTGGTGAGACTTCATCTCTACAATAAATAAAAAATGAGCCAGGCGTGGTAGTGTGTGCCTATAGTTCCACCTACTTGGAAGGCTGAGGTGGAAGGATTGCCGGGGCCCAGCAGGTCGATGCTGGGGTGGCTGTGAGTATGCCACTGTGCTCCAGCCTGGGCAATGAAGTGAGACTCCAACACACACACACACACAAAAAGTATGAGACTGAGTTGGTAGAATTCCAACTTCAAGGTAAGTGGGGATATGACTATTCATAATCATAGAACAACAGAAACATGAACAGCTAGCTAGGTAAGCAGATGACTACATAAATAGCTAGCTAAACAATGTCTCAAGACTAAATGGTTGCTAATATGTAATACATTTCTGCAAATATCAAATGCATCTAGAGACTGAGTTATTTGTAGCTGTTGTGAACTTTGGCACTTGGCACCAAGTGAGAATATTATCTAAGATCTTGGCACAGACACTGAAAATAACCAAGCCTCAGTCTTCAGCTTTAATCATACACATTCTCTTACGAGCATATCACCTTCTCACAATACCACAACAACAAATATTTTCCCTTAGAATAAGCACAGGAGAAATGACCACAGTCAACCCTCAGGTGAACGGGAAAGGGGAACCCAGAGTTTTCTTTGGGAGTGTCCTGGTCTATTTTTGGGTAGATGTCTCTGGAGACAGAATTCAACTAGTGAGGGGAGGCAATGGGAAGCAGTAAGCTCAGAAGTGTTCTTCAGAAAAGCCTAGGGAAAGGGAGAAAAGGTGAAAACAGGGGACATGTGTATGATTTTCTGTGCTCTTTTCTAATGCTTCCTGTGGCCTCTACTGGACAGCTCTCCTATGCCAGACTACCAGTTGCTGGAAAAGCTTACACTGCGAATGAGGAACTCCTGCCCCTCTGTTCTTCCTCTTCTCCCCGTACTTTCTTAGGAGGTGGATAATCAAGTGTTCACTAGGCTCATATTCATTGCTCACAGCACATTAATAAGAATGTTCATTCATTGCAAAAATATTTGTTCAGTTTCTGCTAAATTAAAAGCCCTGTTGTAAATGCCCACATAGCATACAAAAATGAGACACGTAGTTCCAGACCTCGGGGGTCAGAGGGTAGTAAGCCTCAGTAAGCATGGTCACAGATAACTGGCAGGCATGTCACCCTCTCCAGAATCACTACAGGAAATCAGAGGAGGAAAGGGGGGAAGAATCAGTGAAGACCCTAGAGAAGAACCCTGGAGTTTCTGACCTGCATCTTCAAGGTGGAAGAAAGCAAGCATTCCAGGTAGAAGAAAATATGAGCACAACTAAGGTGTAGAAAAGCATGAGACTGTGTTGACTGGATGATGCGAAGTCCAGTCGGGCAGGAGTGGAATGTGCTTGAGGACAGCAGGACAAACTCAGCCTGCAATGGCAGGCGAAGGTTTTGTACCAATATTTTGTGTATATCTGATTTCTTAAGTAGTAGAAAGAGCACGGCAGCAGAAGTCAGAAGACCTCGGTCCTCCTGCTTTTGCCCCTATCTAGCTGTGTAATCACAATAAATCATTTTCTGGGTCACTGTCCTCATCTGAAGTTTCCAGTTCTTATTGGTCTGAGTTCTATCTAAAAAAGTTTAAAGATTCAATCTTTTCCAAGGATCCCAGTGACAAGTAAGAAGAGTGGGCTTTATTATTCACACTTCTCCGAAGGGAACAATGAAGACTTGGTCCAAAGCTTTACACCCATCTTACCTGAAGTCATCTCCATCACTGAGGGCTTCAACCTTTATAACATTGAGGTTTTCAGGTTTAACAGTCACCTTGGCCACTTTCTTTTTTGCTGGACCATCTGCTGAGCCCCCAGGATCACTGCAGCCTCTCTTCCTCTGTCCTCGTGAAACTTTAGAGAGAAGGCTTTTCTTTGGAGGTTTCTCATCTTCAGAGACATCTAGGTGACCACATGGAACAAGAGGTGAGAAACGACAAGAAAAGCAGAGGAGTGTGGCTTGCAGGCAAGGAATGAAAAGGCTCTGAGCTCTCTCCCCAAACCTCCTCTCCACCACTTGTTCACCATCCCATGGCTGGTAAGCAACTAGCTCTTAGCTTCTTCCCATGTGCAGCTATCCATGTTCACAGTAAAAACTGTCCCCCTGTATCAGCATTTTATTCTGCTACTCAGACTGCAGAGACCATCATCTGACTCAAATAAAATCTACCTTCTGGCCGGGCTCAGTGGCTCAGCCTGTAATCTCGCACTTTGGGAGGCTGAGGTGAGTGGATTGCCTGAGCCCACGGGTTCGAAACCCACCTGGGCAACTTGGTGAGACCTCATCTCTACAATAAATTTAAAAAAAAAAATTAGCCGGGCGTGGCAGCGCGCGCCTGTAGTTCCAGCTACTTGGAAGGCTGAGGCGGAAGGATCACCGGAGCCCAGCAGGTCGAGGCTGCGGTGGCCGGCCAAGAGTGGCCACTGCACTCCAGTCTGGAGTGAGACTGAGTGAGACTCCAATTCAAAAAAATCTAACTTCCAATCCTAAATTTCAGCTAATCTCCAGTGAAGAAAATACAGTCATCCATTAATTAGCACCCTGCTTATTTACTATCTGCCAAGACTAATGATTTCCTTTAGGGATAGATAACCTACTCCTCTTATGTACTTCAAGTTCATAAACATGTCTGAGTTCTACCACAACCTTATTTCTACTAATCCATGTTTCTGCCATTTTTCAAGACCAAAGTGCTCAAAACTCATGCTATTATGAAACCTTTCCAATCCAACCCAAAGGGTACTCGTACCAACCACCTCAGTAAACTTAAGTTTGCAAGAAAATGTAGGGGATTCAAAAATATCTTTATTTTCTTAAAATATTCATTGTTTCTTGTTGAGAGAAAATATTTAAAAATGCAATGCTGTTGATTTTGTTTAAATTAGGGTGTCTAAAAGCATGGCCTGTTTATTTACATACAAATAAATAAATATATTAATAAATTAATTTTAATAATTTATAAATAATATGGCAGAGGATATTTTTCTATTTTGCAAATATATCTGCACAAAATATCTTTAATTTTATATAAATCTGCCTTTACCTTTGCATTACTGCTTCAATCGATTTTAGAAAATAAAAATAATCTGGCTATTATTGAGGTTCCAAAAGAGGCTACAATATCACCCTGCAAGAGCAAATTAATTCAGTCTTTTCATTTAAGGTTCATCCTGCTGACTCTCTGGACAGGTATTCGTATTCCCCAAGAACGTACTTTTTCTGGGGTAAAAAGACTCTTCCTTTTAGTCTAGATGAAATCATATGTAATTTTAATAAAGTTCAGATTATAGAAGCATTTGTTTTAACACAAGATAAATCATTGATACTGTTGTTTTTTAAAATGTTGTATAAAAGAAGGAATTTATCCATTCCCATCTTTCAAACATTGTACTGGAAGCCTAAGAAGTAAAAAAATTTTGAAGAATAAAATATTTCAGCCAGGCTCAGTGGCTCAGACTGTAATCCCGCACCTTGGGAGGCTGAGGTGAGTGGACTGCCTGAGCCCATGGGTTCGAGACCCGCCTGGGCAACTTGGTGAGACCTCATCCCTACAATAAATCAAAAAATTAGCCAGGTGTGATAGCACGCGCCTGTAGTTCCAGCTACTTGGAAGGCTGAGGCGGAAGGATCGCCGGAGCCCAGCAGGTCTAGGCTGCGTTGGCCAGGAGCGGTCACTGCACTCTAGTCTGGGCGACAGAGTGAGACTCCAACTAAAAAAAAAAAACAAGAAAAACGATGTATGATCTAACATTAAGCATGCAAAGTTGTTTTTACAGTATGCTTTCTGTCATGAAAAAAACACGCTAGAAGGAAACAGACCATTATATAGTGGTGGCTATTTCTAGATGATTTTTCTTTATTCTTCACTGGGTTTTTGGTCATAAGCATCCAGAGGCTCTTTTCCAGAACTCTTCAAGACCTAGAGTTGTCTAATATGCCTATTCAGCCTCCTTGAGCTCAGTTGTATCTCAGTAGGGGAGAATTACCACTGTGCTTTGCTTGGCCTCCATATTACATTACAAATACATTACATTTCCACGGAGATCTACTAAGAACACCTAAACAATCTAGCGACATCTCCCTTGCATTTAGAACAAAATCATTCAGAATAAGATTCAAACTCTCAAGCTACGAGCTCTGCCCACGTCTCTCATCTCAATTCCTCCCACTCAGCCCCTCACTCCCTGTGTCCAGCCAGCTGGCCAAGAGCATTCCCTCCTAAGAGTCTTTCTATTTACTGTCCTCTCTGCCTAGAACTCTCTTCTCCCAGAACTTCCTATGAATTGCTCAAAAATACATTCAGTAACTGGATCGCAATGTCACCTCCTCAGAGGCCTTCCCTGAACACTGCTTCAGATTTAGCTGCCTCTTCCCACCCTCACATAAGTTTTATTGCAGCATCCTGTTTTACTTTCTTCAAAGCTCTCATCACCATGTAAATTTGGTGTTTTGGTTTTTGGGTTTTTTTACAACTTGTTATTGTCTGCCCCACCTGCCCCTCCCTAATCATAAGCTTCAGGAGAGCCAGGATTTCACCTGTCACCACTATAATCCCACTACCTGGAACGGTGCTTGGAAATAGCAGGCACTCAATAAATAGTTGCTGAAGGAACTAATGACCTACAACAATGAAGACATTAACAAGGAAATACAAAGAAATCAGAGGTTTCTGAGCAGTAGCAAGGAATTAATGTGGACGACTGTTTCTTTGTTCCTATCTGTTGAAAACAGCAAAGGATCACCTTCATTTGCATGCAGAAACTACACTGACAGTCACTAAATTATGTCACCTGCAGTACAAATCACAATTGTTAAGCTTTGCTCCTCCACTCAACCACAGCGAGACTGGAACTCTCCCGATGCTGGAAGCTGCCTTGGGAACTGATTGTTAGCGCATCTGCCTAGCAGAGTTTGAGTAGGCTTAGGTGCCTCCTTACCACCATGCAGGTTGAATGACCTACATGGGACCCTGCCAAAGCCTCTGTATGTCACCTTATTGAAAAATCACAACCACCCTGCAAGGTGCTATTACATTTCACAGAGGAAGTTCAGAAGGGCTCAAATATTTGTCCAAAATAACCTACCCAAGAGCATATACTAAGCTAAGACTAGACCAAGCTGGCACCCAGGTGAAGTGCTAAGCTGGGAGGAGTGCTACCTAGGCCGGTAGCACTTCTATCAGAATAAAACCTTTAAATTTTGGATTGCCACATACCCAGAATACACTTTAAATGGAATACCAACTCTCCTTCACAGCTCCTTGTTAAAATAGTAACCATCCTTTAAGTCATAACTCAAACAACTTCAGAGAGCATTTCTCAGTCTCTCCAATTATTCCTTTGGAGGCCACAAAAGCCTTGTACCTTCTACCACAATGTTTAACACACTATGCCTTGGATATTGCATGTGCAGATGTCCATGCTACTCTAAGATCCTCCAAGATATCTCTATCTCCCATGTTACCTAGCTCATGTATAGCACATAGCAGATACTCAAAAAATGTTTTTTCAATGGGTAAATGAGTAAATGAATAAAGTGGAAATCATAATATTAATTATGAGGCAAATCACCTCCTAAGTTTAGGAATTATTATCATTTAACTACTTCCTAGTGGAAGATGACTATAATCAGTACAGAATCACAGTATCTAGTGTGACAGAGCCCTTGTTAGTTATCTAGTCTAGTCCTCTACCCAGTTATTTCAGAAGACCCAGAAATCTCTTCCACAGCATGCATTTTTCAATTGTTTAAAATATTTGTGGTGCGTGCCTGTAGTTCCAGCAACTTGGAAAGCTGAGGCAGAAGGATCGATCAAACCCAGCAGGTCAAGGCTGTGGTGGCCATGAGCATGCCATTGCACTCCAGCCTGGGAAACAGAGTGAGACTCCAACTCAAAAAAAAATAAAACAAAATATTTATTGAGTACTTAGTACAGCTGGTCCTCCCAATCTACGGATTTCACATCCAGATTCAACCAACCACAGATGGAAAACATTTAGGGGGAAAAACACAACCATAAAAAGCAATATAAAATTTAAAAATACAGTATAACAACTATTTACATAGTATTTACATTGTAGTAGGCATTATAAGTAATCTAGAAATGACTTAAAGTATACCAGAGTATACCAGAGGATGTGTACAGGTTATATGGAAATACTGTGTCATTTTATACAGGGGAATTGAGAACCCACAGATTCTATTATTCGTGGGGATCCTGGAACCAATTTCCCAAGGATACTGAGGGATGACTATATACTCTGGAGAAGGAACGGAAGGGAGGACAGGAGAGGGTACAGCAAAAAATAAGACACGCTGGGCCGGTGTGGTGGCTCACACCTATAACCCCAGCACTTTAGGAGGCTGAGGTGAGAGGAATGCCTGGGCCCATGGGTTCGAGACTAGCCTGGGCAACTTGGCAAGACCTCAGCTCCACAATAAATCAAGAAAAATTAGCATGATAGCACATGCCTGTAGTTCCAGTTACTTGGAAGGCTGAGGCAAAAGGATCTCCGGAGCCCAGCAGGTCGAGGCTGCGGAGGCTGTGAGCGTTCCATTGCACTCCAGCCTGGGCAACAGAGTGAGACTCCAACTCAAAAAATAAAAATAAGGCACGCTTTCATGAAACTTAAACACTAGATAAGCAAGCAAAAAGGAAGCAAATAAATTAAGATCATTACAGATTGTGAGAGAGGATGAGAAGGCAATAACTGCAGTCCTATAATACCTGGGAAAGACTACCTTTAGATAAAGATGCTCAGGGAAGTATATGACTTGAGACCAGAAGAAATAGAAAAAATCAGCTCAGCAAGAGCCATGAAAAAACATTCTAAGCAAAAAGAACATCAAAGGTTCAACGTGAGAAATATCTTGGCACATTTGAAAAACAGAAAGGCCAATAAAGAGGGTATCTGGCAAGGAAGCGAGGGGCAGGAGACCGTAGGAGAGGGAGCAGTAGCCCAATCACGCACCATCTAGTGTAGCCGGTAAAGGAGGTGAATTTATGCCAAACGCAAAGGAAAAGAAAACAAGGAAGGTTTTAAGTATGAGCCAGGCGTGATTTTTGTTGGTGTTGTTAAAGATCATTCAGGTTGCCGGATGGAGAACTATTGCAAAGGGATGAGAAGTCGGTAAAGAGGAAACTGCGCTTAAATGAAAGGTGATGTGGCTTGGACAGAGGCGGTGGCCATGGAAATTAAGAGACGTGGACAGACTTAGACACAGTTCTGAGGCTGAACTGACTTGGCTTGCGGACGGATGAGACATGTGCATGCAAGAAAAAGGTGGGGTTTGCCTTGACAAGTGGGTAGGGTCCTTTATTAGGATGGGAAAAACTGGAGAAGGGACAGATTTAAAGGGAGAAACCATGATCTTTGCTTTGACCATGACACATATAAGAAGCCTATCCGACACCCACAAGGGGAAGTCATGTTGGATCCCAACTTGAAACTCTAGGGTGAGATGCAGCTGAAGTTATTATTCTAGGAGTCAGCACACCACAGCACTCTACGTCCCGGTCCATCCGTATTCTGGGGATCAAAGTAAACTGCGATGCCTTTCCCCCTCGCTCAGCCCGCAGCATCTTGCCGCGAGGCTGGACTTTGTCCTCTGGGCAACAGGGAACAGTGAAAAGGCTGCACAGGGGAGCTCGCGATCAGCCCAGGCCGCCGGGGAACCGCTCGGAGCGTCGCACGAAGGCGCAGGGACAGCGGGGAGGACCGGGCCAGCGGTCTCACGGGCTGCCTCTCCGGGCCACCCTCGTGTCGTCTCCGCGCGGAGCGTGCGCGGCAGCCTCAAGCCTCTCACCTCCACGTCCGGTCTCCCCGCCTCCGGGCCGCCTCCGGGCCTTCTCCGCCCTCTTGCAGGATCGCACCGCCGAACCCGGCGCGGCCTCGCTCTCACTCGCATCCTTCTCCTCACGCCGGGCCTTGCTCTTGCCCTTGGACTTCTGGCCGCGCGGTTCGTGCGCCCGCGTCTGCCCGCCCGCCGCGCGCTTCCGAGCCATAGCCCCGGCGCGAGCAAGATCCGCTTCGCGAGTGACGCACTGGCCACGGGAGGCCGGAGCGCGGGTTCCGCCCCCAGGCGTGCGCGCTCTGGCCACACCCCTTGTTGTGAACCAAGCCACGCCCCCAGATGAAGCTCCGCCCAGCTCCAAAGGCCACAATTAACTGCGGGAAGCAAGCAAGCGGGAAACAAACTTCTCTCTACTTCCGGTGCATTGGGTTTCCCCACGCTTCCGGAGACCGGAATTCTCGCGACAAGTGAGAAAGGGCGCAGGGTTTGAAACATGGCGGACGACGTGGAGCAGGTGAGTGTGTTCTGTGGCGCTCGCGCAGAGTAGCTCCCGCTCCCAGTTGTGGCCCCACTCAGCTTCGCGTGCCAGGGCTGCTTTCTTCGAGCTCATGGAAAAGTGGCCTGCCGTGCCTCTTCCTCCCGGGTCACCACGGCCTAATCTGCTGGTCTTTTACGAAGCCGTCCCCCCCTGCGAGTTTTCCTCAGGCTGAGATCTTTTCCTGTGCGAAGCCTCCAGATAACTGGTTATTCATCACGCTCCTCGCTAATTCTATTTTTGAGTCTTACTTTTATCTGTAAATAATTTTCCTTGCCTGTCTTACGGAGCTGTCAGGATTCCAATAGAAAGCATGATGATAAAGTTAAGAAATTGTTATCATGATTGAGAGCAACAATTTCTCATGCAGTGGATACATAGCATCTGCTCTGTATTGTTAGACACTGTTCCAAGCACCACGGACCGCTGGCATTGATCCTTGTCATCACTTCCACCTTACATTCTGGGGGAGGACAGATAAAACTAGATACAGATACTTGAGATTTATAGGAACTGTGATGTGCGGCGAAGGAAGCAAGGAACTGGTATGCAGAATAAAGGATGGTCCTACAAACTTTTTCACCTGCTCTTACCTCTTTCTCAGATATCTTTGTGGATCAAGCCACAACTTCTTCAGCTTTATGCTGAAATCTCACCTCACCAAGGAGGACTTCCCTGCCCACCTACGTAGAATAGCATTCCCCCAACTCTGCTTACCCAGGTTTATTTTTCTTCATAGCTTGTTATTTTTTCATATTGAATATATGCTTTTTGGTTTAATGTGTATCTTCCCCCACTGAGCTGTAAGTTCCTTAAGAGCAGGGATTTTGTTTTGATCACTCTTCTGTCCTTGGAGTTTAGAATAGTGCTTGAAACACTCTGCAAATATTTATTGAGTGGATGAATTAGATGATCGGGGAGGCCTCTTTGGAAGACAGTAGTAAATGCATGATGAAAAGGGTGGGCAGTGGACATCCTAGACAGAAGCATAAGTAGCATTTGGGCTTTGCTATGAGATATACATATAGCATAATTTTGTAGCATTTGGGCTCTGTTGTGTGATGTGCATGTAGCATTGTAATTATTTATGTGCCTCTTTACACTAGAATGAACTCCTTGAGGGTGGGGATCATGACTTCTGTAGTATTGTTGGCCAGTAATTGATTATCTGGTCCTTTAACACACCAGTTGAATTGAGAGGGGCAGGCACCAGTTGAATTTATTTTTCCCTCTCATTTATCCTTTTGAACCTGCAGAGACTGTTGCTTTCAGTTACCCTCCTCTACTGGCCTCATGCACTCACTGAAGAAGCTCTCCTTGAATAATCTTACTAGCTCCATGGCTACAGGCATCCCTTCCATGTGGATAACCCCAAGTCATTCCACCCCTGAACTCTGAAGCCTGTGTTTCCAAAAGTTTTTTAATAGTAATAATGGGAACCATTTCTAAGTATTGTCTGTTTACCAGGTACTATTGTACATACATTAGCTAGTTTAGTCCTCACAAGAACCCTGAAGGTGAGAGACCCAAGAGATTCAAAAAAACTCAAAAAAGAACTATTACTATATGAATTCTGCAGCTGCTGCTAGCAGTGTGTGAATGTTAAGCAATAAGCCCCTTCCGGACATTCCTTTGCTTAAATTGTGGCAGCCTCTGTGGCGTCTCTCTCCTGGTAAGCTCGGTGTTGTTCAAACCTCCTGCCTGCTCGCTAAACCTAGCTTATCTGGCATTCCATTCCACCCGTTTGGCAGTTACTTGTCCATCACAAGTAACTAAGCCTGAGCCCGCGCAAATCGAACTTAAATCAACCAAAGTCTTTGTAACTGCGTCATATAGTTTTTATCCAATCCTGTGTGCACAAGTTTGTAAAGCCACCCCACCCCTTCAAAATTATGTATAAAAGGTGCGTATTAGCCTGGGTCGGGGCTCTCTCGTCCCTGAAGCTGCTGCATCAGCTTCAAACATGAGCCCAGACTCGAGCCTGAATAAAGACCCTCGTGTGTTTGCATCAGAGCTGGCTCTTTGGTGGTCTCTCAGATTTAAAATCTTGGGTTTAACAAAGGAAGGATATGGCTTCCTCATTTTATGAACAAGGAATCTGAGGATTAAAGATGACTGATTTGTAGTCCCAGTTCCTAAGTGTCAGGTCAGATCCAGGTCAGACTGCCTGACTCCAAAACCAGTACAGTAATCTATACAGCCAACTAAATATATTCATCTTAATAGCCATTTTGTAGCCTAAATCTGTACTGAATTCATTATCTTCCCTTAAACCTTCACCTCTGTTTAGCATTGTGACTACTGTATGGTAGGCACTAAGTTGTTTTTCTTTTTTTTTTTTTTTTTTACTGTTTTATTTTAAAGATGTGGGTACAATTTAGGGTTAGGTATACAAATGTTCATTATGCAGGCACCCTTTTTGATGAGGTGTGCCTCCCCGGCAGATTCCCACTACTGCCAATCCCCCCCTTGATAATTGTTCTAGACCCGCTTATGAGTGAGAACATGTGATACTCAGTTCTTTGTTTCTGTGATAGATTACTCAGTATTATAGACTCTAAGTTCATCCAAGTTGCTGTGAAGTTCATAATTTTGTCCTTCTTTATGGCTGCATAATATTCCATTGTGTATATGTACCACATTTTTTTTTATCCAGTCCTTTTTCGATGAACAGCATGGTTGGTTCCATTTTTTTGCTATTGTGAACAATGCTGCAAGGTTATTGTTTCTTTCTTTCTTTCTTTCTTTCCTTCTTTCTTTCTTTCTTTTCTTCTTTCCTTCTTTCCTTCTTTTTTTCTTTCCTTCTTTCCTTCTTCCCTTCCTTCTTTCCTTCTTTCCTTCTTTCCTTCTTTCCTTCCTTCCTTCCTTCCTTCCTTCCTTCTTTCCTTCTTTCTTTCTTTCTTTCTTTCTTTCTTGTGCAGTGGCTGCTCGACTCCGGCGATCCTTCCACCTCAGCCTTCCAAGTAGCTGAAACTACAGGTGTGCGCTACCACGCCCGGCTAGTTTTTGATTTATTGTAGAGATGAGGTCTCGCCAAGTTGCCCAGGTGGGCCTCGAACCTGTGGACTCAGGCAATCCACTTACCTCAGCCTCCCAGAGGTGCGGGATTACAGGCTGAGCCACCGAGCCTGGCTGGTTATTGTTTTTCAAATGAGTAGATGGAATTTGAGCTGGCTGCGGTGGCTCATGCCTATAATCCCAGCATTTTGGGAGGCCGAGGTGAGAGGATTGCCTGAGCCTACTGGTTCGAGACCAACCTGGGCAACTTGGCAAGACCTCGTCTCTACAATAAATCATAAAATTAGTCGGACGTGGTAGCACGCATCTATAGTTCCAGCTACTTGGAAGGCTGAGGTGGAAGGATCGCCTGAGACCAGCAAGTCGAGGCTGCAGTGGCTATAAGTGTGCCACTGCACTCCAACCTGGGTGACAGAGTAAAATTCCAACTCAAAAAAAAAAAAAAAGAAATTTGAGTTAAGGCTAAAGTCCCTCAGAGTGACTCCCTGAAATTGGGTCAGGCCATTTGGATTTTGAGGGAACAGTATAGTCATGATTATTTTGCTATATAACTCCTGCCTGTGTGTATGTGTGTGTGTTTGTGTTTTAATTCTCATTTATAAAGCACTTCCTATGTGAAAGGCACTGTTAAAACCTTCATATACGACAGGTGCCAAAAAAAAAAGTATACACATTTTTCTTTCTAAGTTAGAGTTTCACTCTGTCGCCCAGGCTGGAGTACAGTGGCACATTCACAGCCACCACAGTCTCAACCTGCCGGGCTCAGATGATCCTTCTGCCTCAGCCTTCCAAGTAGCTGGAACTATAAGCACATGCCACCACGCCCAGCTAATTTTTTGATTTGTTGTAGAGATGAGGTCTCACCAAGTTGCCCAGGCTGTTCTCAAACCCCTGGACTCAGGCAATCCTCTCACCTTAGCCTCCCAAAATACTGGGATTACAGGCTTGAGCCACTGCACCCAGTCAGAAACTATACACATTTTAAGAGATGTTATCTACTTTTTGAAGTTGAATTACCATCTTTTGTTATCGCTACATTTTGAGTATGGCAGTTTTTTCCTTTCCTAAAATATGTATACTTTTTTTGGCACCCTCTGTATATCACTTAAGCCTCACAACAGCAGTATTAGGTAGACACTATTGTTATCTCCATTTTACAGACTGTGGCATAGAAAGGTCAAATAACTTGCCCAAGGTCACACAGCATAGCAGTGATTCAGGTGCTTCACTGTCACTAATACTGCATTATTCAGCCTGTTTCTTTTATCAGCAACAAACTACTAACACTGTAGAGGAGCCCTTGGATCTTATCAGGCTCAGCCTGGATGAACGAATTTATGTGAAAATGAGGAATGACCGAGAGCTTCGAGGCAGATTACATGTAAGTAAATTTATCAAATTACCTTGAAATCAGATTCCTTGTCCTTCCTTCCTGCCCTCACTTTCTTGAAATGTAAAAACTGTCCAGTGTGAAAGAGTTATTTTGAAATGTGGAAGAAAAGGAGGTAGAAAGTCACTCATTGCTCTAAGCCATATAGAGCTGTATTTTGTTCTTATTTTTAACATTTTTTCTCTTATGAAGTGTTTATTATAGAACATTTTCTTTCTTTTCATTTTTCCCCCCTCTGTTTATTTGTAAATAACAATTGTTTGTCCTCTATTATTACTTAAATGTTTCAAAATTACTGACATACATACAAGTATGTGTTCTACTATGTAAAGTTAAACAGCACCAAAATATATAGAGTAAAAAGTGAAATCCCATTTCCTCTATTGGTAACCACTGTTAAAAATTGGGTCATCTTCACTGGAGACTCAGAAGGGGGAGAGGGACAGGGGTGGGGGCACCAAAAAATCACAGATGGGGGTGGAGGGCACATGTAAACCTCAGACCTAAAACCATTTGTATCCCCTAAAGCTACTGAAATTAAAATGCACATATATAACATAAATAAGTAATTAAAAAATTAAACAAGTCTCACCCCTACCAGGAAAAAAATTGAGTTATCTTTTCTTTATTTTTATACATTGTGTACATATGCATACATTTGCACTATATTCACCACCTCTACCAAAAAAAATGGATCTTGCTACACATATTTTTCACTGTTTTTTTTTCATGTTTTCACTGTTTTTTTTTCACTGACTCTTTCTTGGAAATTCTTGGTCATGAGCGCATATAAATCTCCTTTATTATTTTTAATGATACATATGCTTCTTATATGATAGTAGTGATGTTTAGATTGCTTTTCATTTCTTGCTGCTATATATAATACTGGAGTAAGTATTTTTATACATATGTCCTTTGTGCATATCTGCAAATATTTATATAGAATTGGTTTGAAGTGATCCCATTTGTCATAAAGAATACACTGAAGGATTTGCCTCTCATTGATGACTTTTTCTTTCCTAAATGTGTTTTTATCACTGTCACTACACTAAAGTGATTAAAAATAACTAGCATTTATTGAACATTATATGCCAGGCACTATTATTCTAAGTGTTGTGTATCTCATTCAATCTTTATAACAAGCCTGTGAGGGTAGCTGCTATATCCTTGCTTTGCAATTGAAGAATCTCAGGCCAGAAAGGTGCTATCACTTGCTAAGATGACACAGCTCATAAAGAAAGAGTCAGAATATGAATCTAGTCAGTCTGACCTCAGCCCCACTCTTAAGTACTGGGGTTCTACCTTCCATAAAACCTAAAGATAACCTCTGGATTTGAAGGAAACAGTAGTTTTAATATGCAGCTTCCCTCAGGGAAGAAGAGCTCCAGGAATGGAGTAGTGGCAACCTTGGGGAGAAAAATAGAATTGAGCTGAATTACGTAAGTCTGCCACATGGAGAGACATATTACTCTTAACTTTTGGAAGCTTCTTTACTTCCCTGTGTAGACGTAATTGCCTCTGTGCTGAATAGTCCAACTTTCTGTTTGTTGTCAACCCTCAGTTGTATGTTTTTGCTTTCACTAGTGTGCCCTGCCTAGTAGTTCCCCACAAGGTAAGTTACTTTTATTTTTATTTATTTTTTATTATTTGTTTAGAGATGAGGTCTCTCTGTATTGCCCAGACTGATCTTCAACTCCTGGCCTCAAGCGACCGTCCCACCTTAGCCTCCCAAAGTGCTGGGATTGTAGGTGTGAGCTACCGTGCCCAGTGCTTCTTTTATTTTGATGTGAACATTTAACACTTTGTTGGAAGTAAACAGGAATGAGTTCTGAATGCGGCCCCAGAAAGTTCACCTTTTAGTAGAATGCATGAACTTTGGTACTTGGATTGGATATCTTAGTCGCAACATTTATTGATTGAACCCAGAGATGCCAAACACATTTAGGTTCTGGATAGGTTATAAATGGGCAGAATGTTGATCTACTGCCTTTACCTTTGTGGTATTTAGCCTACCACGTGCCTTTATTTTTATTTTTATTTTTGAGTTGGAGTCTCACTCTGTCTCCCAGGTTGGAGTGCAGTGGCACACTCATTGGCCACCCAAGCGTCGACCTGCCGGACTCCGGCGATCCTTTCACCTCAGCCTTCCAAGTAGCTGGAACTTCAGGTGCATGCTACCACGCCCAGCCTTTTTTTTTTTTTTTTTTTTTTGTAGAAACAAGGTCTCGCTAGGCTACCAGGGCTGGTCTTGAACCCACGAGCTCAGGCAATCCACTTGCCTCAGCCTCCCAAAATGCTGTGATTACAGGCTAAGCTACCAAGCCTGGCCTGCCGTGTGCTTTTAGAAGACTGCAATGGGGAAGTTCTGGATCATCTTGGAGAGAGCCACGTGTCATTGCTTCTTTCCTTTTCGCCCTGTGAGTCAGTAGGGAGGATGCTGGGACACCCAGAAGCCAGGAGATGTGTCCTCCCTTGCCATACACACTGGCAATTCCTGCTACAGCAATAAAGATAGGGTCCCACAGATCTACCTGACCAACCAAAAACAAGCAGAGCAGGACAGGTCACCTCCTGTCTGAACTCAACTTTCTTTTTTTTTTGAATTGGAGTCTTACTCTGTCACCCAGGCTGGAGTGCACTGACATGCTCATGGCCATTGCAGCCTCAACCTGCTCGGCTCCTGCAATTCTTCCACCTCAGCCTTCCAGGTAGCCAGAACTATAGGTATGCACTACTACATCCAGCAAAAACTTTCACAAACATATCTGGCAGCCCTTGTGCTTGACTCTGACTCCACATTAGAATCACGTGGGGGCAATTAATTAAAACAACACTAATGCTTTCACAAAGACCAACAGACAACCATCAAGAGACAGTCCACAGAATGGGAAAAATTATTTCTCAACTGTATATCTGACAAAGGCCTAACATTTAGGATCTACAAGGAACTCAAACACCGAGTGGAAAAAAAATAAACAGACCCTTTAAAATGTGGGCAACAGACATAAATAGACAATTCTCAAAAGAAGATTTATGGGTAGCCAGCCGACGCATGAAAAAGTGTCAGCTTCACATCATCAGAGAAATGCAAATCAAATCCACATTGAGATACCACCTAACCCCAGTAAGAGTGGCCATCCTTAATAAACAACAACAGATGCTGGTGAGGTTGTGGAGAAGAAGGAACACTTTTACACTTTGGTGGAAATGCATACTAGTGCAACCTCTTTGGAAGACTTTGGTGATATCTGAAAGAACTAGAAATTGACCTTCCATATGACCTGACAATTCACCTATTATAAATATACTTGGAGGAACTCAAATCATTCTCAAAAAAGATACCTGCACACATATGTTTGTTGCAGCTCTATTCACAATAACAAAAAAAATGGAACCAGCCATGTTGCCCATCAAAGTTGAACTGGTTAAAAAAAAGTGGTACATCTTCACAATGGAATATTATGCATCCATAAAGAGGCCAAACATATAGATTTCAGGGCAACTTGGATGGATTTGGAGTAGATCATACTCAGTGATCTATCACAGAAAAAAAGAAAGGAATACCATATGTTCTCATTCATAAGCAGACCTTGAAATATTATAATACTATAAGAAAGGGATTGGCCGGGCTCGGTGGCTCAGCCTGTAATCCCACGCCTTTGGGAGGCTGAGGTGAGTGGATTGCCTGAGCCCGCGGGTTCGAGACCCGCCTGGGCAGCGAGACCTCATCTCTACAATAAATCAAAAAATCAGCCGGGCGTGGTAGCGCGCGCCTGTAATTCCGGCTACTCGGAAGGCTGAGGTGGAAGGATCGCCAGAGCCCAGCAGGTTGAGGCTGCGGTGGCCGGAAGCGGCCACTGCACTCCAGTCTGGGCGACTGAGTGAGACTCCAACTCAAAAACAAAAAATAAAGGGATTGGCAGTAGTGGGAAACTGTCAGGGGAGGGGTGTGGGATTGGCAGTTGAGGGAAACTGCTAGGGGAGGGAAGGGCACACCTCATCCACAAGGGTACCTGCATAATCAATGTTTGTATACCTAACCCTGAATTGTACTCCACATCTTTATAATAATAATAATAATAATAAAGACCAACAGACAAAAAAAAGAAGAAGACTGCAATGCCATCGTGTTAGCAGTCAAACAGAGGATTTTATCTTTTTACTGTATTTTTCTTGTCATACCATTATAAGTGGAATTGAAAAAAATCTACGGATAAGTGATGACTTTGCTATTTTTCATAATTAAATATTACAAATGCTACTGCCTTGGATAGCAAGCAGGATAGATACTTAAATACAAAATAATTTCAAGTTATTTTGAGTAAACTGACTTGGTCATATAAACAGTTTTTATGTTTTTATCGGGTCAATTAAGTTATCATTGGAAATGATTTGCAAAGACATATTATGTTAGTATGGCAGGATTATTTCTATTTGCATGTGAAAGTTTGTGATATAAATATCAATCATGGCCGGGCTTGGTGGCTCAGCCTGTAATCCCAGCACTTTGGGAGGCCTAGGTGAGTGGATTGCCTGAGCCCATGGGTTCAAGATCAGCCCGGACAACTTGGCGAGACCTCGTTTCTACAATAAAGTTAAAAAATAGCTGGGCATGGTAGTGCACATCTGTAGTTCTGGCTACTCGGAAGACTGAGGTGGAAGGATCACTGGAGCCCAGTAGATTGATGCTGGCGTGGCCGTGAGCGCATGTACCACTGCACTCCAGCCTGGGCAAAGTAGTGAGACTCCAACTCAAAAAAAAAAAAAAAAAAATCAATCATGTTACATGTAATTGAGCCATTTGCATAGTATAAGCCCTATTTATTATTTCTCAATTTAATTATTAAATTTCTTGGTTCTTCGCCTTCCTGCTTCAGGCTTATGATCAACATTTAAATATGATATTGGGAGATGTGGAAGAAACTGTGACTACTATAGAAATTGATGAAGAAACATATGAAGAGATATATAAAGTAAGTCATGTGGTTCTATTCATCACTTTGAAAATGTCAACTATTTTCTACATTCAACAGCTTAACACAGATTTATGGAAAGGCTGTCATGTTTTGACACCTACTTCTGGACTCAGTAAAGTATAGCAATTAAAAACAAAGGTTTGGGGTCAGACAGACCTGGTTTCCAGTACTGGGTTGACCACTTCCTACCTGGGCTATCTGGGGCAAGGAAATTAACCTTGCAGACTCTTTTCATTGGTAAGCAGGAATGCTACCACTTACTATGTAGGGTTGCCCGATTAAGTGAGATAAGACAATACACTGTGTGCTAGTGTGTAACAGTAATACTGGACAGTGTTCTTTTATTTTCTGTGGATTTGATTTATGAATACTTAGTGTATTAGAAACTGAAACAAATTTTTTTAATAGTCATCAGAAAAACCTGTCACGTTATTATAATATTTCTATGACCAGTAATTAGATTTTCTAAAACAATATTTAGTGAGGAGTATCTTTATTTTTGCAATTCTTTTTAATGCTGGACTTAACTGATGTCAGCTAGATCTTTTTTTTGCATTAAATCCATTGTGACACATTGTTGTAGTTGAAGATAATCTGACCACACACTGATAGATAGTTGGAAAGGAAGAAGTGTGTTTTGTGGCTATTCACCTTTGATACTGCATCCAAATTCAACAAGTTGTAGTTTGTTAAAATTTAGCTATATTAGCACAGCATTATTCACAATAGCAAAAATGTGCAACCAACCTAGGTGCCCATCAGCAGTGGATTAGGTAAGTATATGTATACATATACATACGTACACACACGTACACACCATGGAATACTACACGTTCATAAAAAAGAATGAAATTATACCCTCTGCAGCAATGTGGATGCAGCTGGAGGCCATCTGTTAATTAACACAGAAAAGCAAATATTGCATCTTTTCACTCGTAAGTGGGAGCTAAACACTGCGTACACACAGGCATAGGATGGGAACAGCAGACACTAGGAACTCCAAAGGGTTGAAAATCACCCATTGGGAGCCATGATTACCACTTGGGTGACGGGCTCAACAGAAGCCCAAACCTCTCCATCATGCGAAATACCCATGTAACAAACCTGCACATATAACCCTGGAATCTAAAATCTTTAAAAGATTGGTTGCAGTGTGGAATCTGAAACCACATCTGAACTTTTCATACTCTTGTTACATGAAAATTCACTGGTCTGTCTTGTACTTCAAATGGATCTTTAATTCACATATGATTTGGTTATATCAGGCACTGGTCATTTAGAAAGCATTAGTTCACTTCGTTACGCAGATCTTCTAAATCATTGACACATTTCTTTGTGCAGTATAAGAAACTTGCATTTGTTAATATTGCCAATGATTTCATCAGAAGTCTTTTTTTTCTTTTTCCTTGAGTTGGGGTCCCACTCCAGGCTATAGTGCAGTGGCATGATCACAGCTCACTGTAGCCTCGACCTCCTGGGCTTTGGTGAGCCTTCCTGCCTCACAAGTAGCTGGGATGCCACCACACCCGGCTAATTTTTATTTTGTAGAGATGAGTTCTTGGTATGTTGCCCAGACTGATCTCAAACTCCTGGCCTCAAGAAATCCTCCCGCCTCAGCCTCCCAAAGTGCTAGGATTACAGGCATGAGCCATAACACCTGGCCAGAAAAGTCTTGCTAGAATATAGTAGTTAAAAGTGTGGACTCAGATTTCAGGACTGCATGGATTCAAATCTTGATTCCCTTGCTTACCACCTTTATAGTTGAGCCACGTGACCTCACCTGTCTGTGGCTAAGTTTCCTTTTCCATAAAATGGAGATAATAATGGGACCCACTTCATACAACTAAGGAGAATTCATTGAGGGGCTGCATGAAAAACCTTCAGATTAGTAACAGGCACATAGTAACCATTCACGTTAGCCTTCATTACTTTTTATAGTTCTGCTTTATCCTGACTTTTCTCCTCTCACTGACTACTCCTGAGTCCTTTTGACTCCTTTGCTAAAGCTCTCTCTCCTTCCAAGTGTGGACCTTTAGCTTTTTTTTTCCCCCCTCTGGGCTGGCTTATTTCTCCAGGAAAGAATTGCATTTTTTTCTTTATCTGTTTTTTCCTTCAGGGGTATAGTTTAGTAACTATTTGTTTGTTTTTAACATGGACACAATTATTTGTACCAATTCTAAGATGCACTTTTAAAAAATTTTGGTATCAAAAAACATGATTGTGTCTTACAGATGATGTGATTTAAAAATTGTGTCATAGTTTAGTTGGCAGCATTTTTCTTTTTCAGTTCAACTAAAGATTACAAATAATATCTTAAGTGTGACAAATATGGAATATGCAGTTTTAATGTTTTTTTTTTCATGAAAAATTTTTTTCATTAAGTCATTCCATTCTAGGACATGTAACATTATTAACCTAAGAATTATGCCATAGAAGTACTCTTCATAAACATTTTAATGCTCTTGTCTTGACTTATGCTTATGACAGAAATGGCTTCATCTGTGGTGTCCATTCTTAAAGCAAGGGGACACTGCTGCTTACTCTTGGTTTGCAGTGAGCTGAGAGTGGGATCCACCTCTCCAATCCCTTCTCCTCTAGGAGGACGGTTTCATGTGTTATTCATCTCTGTGTCTAATGCCCTTCATTGTACCTGACATATAACGGACACTCAGTGTTTGTGTTAGAGGACTTTAGATTTAATCTCAAGTTGAATCAATTAGTTTCAGACAGAAAAGATTCTGTTTCACTGCAAAGACTGCAGATCCAAGGCTTGTCACCTATCACACACATGCTTTTTCTTTTTAAATTCTGGGTGAAATTCACCAATCATGTATTGAATTCAGGGTATGACTGGGTTATATATTGAAACTATTTTTCTGATAGTTTTTGCTGTCCTTTTTTCCCAAGGGAACTTAAGTTTGCACACTGAACCCCGTGTACTAGTCCATGTCCCCTTCTTTGTCAAGAATTATTTGTTTGATCCGGGCGAAGTGACTCACACTTGTAAATCCCAGCAGTTTGGGAGGCTGAGGCAGGAGGATCACTTGAGGCCAGGAGTTTCAAATTGGCCTGGTCAACATAGTGAAACAGCCTCTACAAAGAATAAAAAAAGAATTATTTGTCTGTAATATGACCTCCTGCCTGGATGATATGAGCAGGAAGCCCAGAGGAGGTAACTTACATGTGGATTGTTGAATGTGTGCTCTTGTGAGCATATCAGTTAATGTTGGTTAGACTGGGAGCAAATAACCCCAAATATGCATCATACTGGACCCCCAGTGAGTCCAACAGGGACAGCACAATGTCTGAGAGGCTGAAAAAAAGATCTGCAGACATAGGTGAGATACAGGGTTTGCTGGAGATTTACTTACAGGGTATCCTGGGGCGGGTGACTGGAAAGGGAAAATAACACTACTATTTGTGGTAAGCATGCTGTTTATATAGTAACTTTTACGTATCAACCTTCACCTAGTTTAAAATAAAGGGCCTTGGTCCAACAACCCATGTCCAACAACCCAACAAAATGGGCCAGGGTCCAGATGTTCTTCACAGGTATGACATAGACATCTAGGTTAGCCATTCCCAGAGTCCCCTGGTCCATATCTCAAACCACTAAACATACACTTCACTAAGAAACATAGGGTCATTTTGGGGGTGTGCCTGGGTTTTGCTGTCAGGTAAGACATGCCCACCATACACTTAGCACAGTCAGAGTGTGTTTCTTGATGACATAATTGTTCTGTGTAGGTTTTCTCCACACAGCCATTCAGGAACCTTGGCTCCTCATGTCTTGTGACTTCACCAACTCCTAAGTCTTTGTCCTCATTTCACATCCAGCCAGTGGTAGCAAAAAGGAATGGTGGAATGCTCATGGGTAGTTTTGTGAACCAGGCCTGGGTGTGCCACATGCCTCTGCTCACATTCTTTTTTTTTTTTTTGAGTTGGAGTCTCACTCTGTTGCCCAGACTGGAGTGCAGTGGCCGCTCCCGGCCACCGCAGCCTCCACCTGCTGGGCTCCGGCGATCCTTCCACCTCAGCCTTCCGAGTAGCCGGAATTACAGGCACGCGCTACCACGCCCGGCTAATTTTTTGATTTATTGTAGAGATGAGGTCTCGCCTGCCCAGGCGGGTCTCGAATCTGCTCACATTCTTAAGGCTAAAACTCGATGTGACCCTACGTGAGGGAGCCTGGGAAGTATGGTTTAATTGTGTGCCCAGGAAAGAAGGAAGAACAGGTATGAACAGGTAGTAGTTTCTGCCACAGGCTTCCCCTCTGACAGTTGTAAAGCATCTCTGTATACCTGTGAGCAAATAGCTTAAAAGAAATGTTTTTCTTTATGGAAAAATGACCATGGGTTAACTTACCCGTTCAGTTTCCCTAGAAACCTGATGAAAGTAGAATGTCAAATGTGTTAGAAAACGTTTCTATGATTTTAAAATGATCCCTGGTTGGTAAACTGCATCTGAACTGAGAGAACAATAAATGAGCTCTAAACACTGCTAGGAGCCCAGAGCTTGGGTTTCCCTGAGACAACGTGACCCTCGTAATAGAGCATGCCCTCTTGGTGACTTTGAAGCTACAGGGGCCATGGCTATTGGCCCCGCGAAGGTTCGCTGAAAAATCACTGGCATGAAGCAGATGGATTAATAGGAGAAAAAATATTTGCATTTCATTTAATGTATTTACACCGGAACCTTCAATATGAAGAAGACCCAACTTCCCAATGAGCTACAGAAGCATAAAGACTATTTTGAGGTTAACAGAAAGAATGGGCTTGCATTCTGGTAAAACAGGTTATGGGAGGTAGAAGAAGAGAAATTCTATTGAGCAGAAATATGGATGGGGAAATAGAGAAAGACTTGCAAATATTTCTCTTCAGAGGTTGAATGAACCTGAGAGACAGGTTATGTAAAATGGTTGGGCCAGGTCTGATTGCATTCTTCCTCTCCTTTCCTGCAATAGATAATGAGAGGAAGCAGTTTGGGAGAAACCTTGA